GCAGCGGTGAGCGGACAAAACACACACTTCAGGTTAGAATATCACACGTAGCTATTTTAATTACCTCTCAAACTACGTAAACTAGTTATAGATATGTTTAGTTTTACTGTCGGGTCACTCATTACTGGATCCGCGAGCTGCATGATACTGGCATAATAGATTGCCCAACCAGCAGGTGAGGCTTCATTGCCCGAGCTAAATACTAGATGGCCCCGGGCCATCGGGCAGTCCTTAATGTCTAGCCCTGGTTTAATTTAAGTATGGTTCTCCGGATACCAGCTTTCTGTGCGCTCTTATCTTAAACACAACAGTTTATATCTTTTGATTCAAATTCAGATTCAAATTGTTTTAATGTCGATTAAATGTACATAAGAAATGTCTTTAGCGTCAGCAAAAATAAAACAACAATCACCATACAGCACAACTAGGGATGTCCCGATCACCTTTTTTTGCTTCCGATTCCGATCATTTGATTTTGACAATCTGCCGATACCGATTTTTCCCGATCCGATCTTTATGCAATGCATTAAGAGAAAAAAAAAGGAAAAAAGCATTCAAGTTGTCCCTTAAGGTTATTTTTTTTATTTAAATGACAGTACCCAACTATCCATTCTATCCAACATGAATATAGCTTCTTTTTTTCACAGCAGCATTGGATCAGTTCAGTTGTGCAGCATTGGATCAAAACAAAATAAAGCTTATCAGTGGTCCACCACAAAATAACCATGTAAACAAATTGAGTGCAGATAGTGCAGTAACAAAACAAAAATAACTCTACTGGAAAGAGGTAGCTTGACTAGCTTCACATTCAGTCACAAATAATAAAATAAAATAAAAATGTGGCTTAGTGCAGAATTCTAGCCTTAGGACTAACTAGTCTAGTAATAATGCAATGAACAGTAGCTTAACATAACATGAATAAACAAAGTATTATATTTCCATCTTACTGGAGTAACACAATTCAATAGTAATCAGCAGCAAACCACTTCTTTTTGTTATTCTACAGTATTGTTGTTTTATAGTTATTTGTTAATTTAACCCAATTTGTGTTCTTTGAAATTGAAAAGGATATCGCATTGTGTTTGTTACTTTCGTTGCAGTTGTATATGTCTTAAGTGTAATTTGGCTTGGCTTCCTATTTGTGGACATGCTTTTATTTTGAAGGAGAGGTAGCGCTGTTGACAGGAAGTTGTTGTTGCTTTGGAAACAACGTGACGGAGATTAACGGAGAAAATTAATATCTACATATAAAGACGGAGAAAGTAAACGATAACGTTTATGGTTAAGTGTTAGCACCCCCCGAAGAGGCACAAGCTCTTACGTTGATATTAGAGATTTCAATAAATTCAATTTGGGAAAAAAACGGGGGAAAAAATGAAAAAACAAACAATCGTATTAGATTGGTCGTGTTGAACGTAGCTCTGTTCTTTCCACCACGCGGAACATCCTTCTTGCAAACATTGCATCTGGCTGTTACACTGCCTTCGGTTTCAATTTTATAATACTTCCAAACTCCTGACATTTGCTCTGTCCCGACCTATGGTCCCGACTCCCGAGTCACCAGCTGAACGTAGCCTCTCGTTAGCTTACTGCTACTATTAGACACTGCGCCCTGCACACTCTGTTGCCAGATTTGAGAGAAATAAGCAACCAGGTCTGAAAACAAGCCCAAAAGAAGCAACACATACATGATGTTGTGCAATTTTAAACCAAAACTAAGGCCTCAGGATGACTTTAAGACGTGAACATGGTCATTTTTGTTTTGTAACGTTAAATAAAATAATTTTTTAAAGGATTCCCGATCCCCGATCTTTTTCTCCCGATTCGATCTTTGAAAAATCACGCGATCGGATCGGATCACGTGATCGGATCGGGACATCTCTAAGCACAACATAACATAACATGTAGTAGGGCTGAACGATATATCGTGTCATGGCGATAACCACGATATGCGCATGCGCGATATTCACACCGCAGGGACGTGCGGATTTTTTATTTTTTAAATGCTAACGCACTTTAGCACAGAATTCTAAATAAAGATACCCTTATTACTTATCGAAACTGCACATACAATATATCCGATTAAAGCTGAGACTCCACAGATTATTTAAGTATAGTATCATCACTGAGCGATCCGATCTCGCAACAGGGGAAGCAAACACAGACATCACAACACGTACCTTTACAGAGCTTTTACGGGAGATTGTCTCACCGTAGCTGTCAATCTGATCAAAAGACGTGTTCAATGGCATTAAAACGAGAAAAAACGCGGCTGAATCGGTTGATCCATAGGTTAATAATGTATTTGTGGCTTTGAAGCAATTGTTTATAATCCATAATTCCATTTTTATGTAAAGATCAGAGCACAAAAGTTAGCTACTAATGGTAGCTACCAGAGTGTATGCAGCTTCCGGTGTTGGCTACGCATCACTCTCACTCCTTATTTGGTAATGTGTGTGTGTGTGCAGAACTTCCCCTCGATTCCATTGGCTCTAGCGGTTATAAAGAGATTTCATTTGTCAAAATCGAGCAAGGGGGGCCAGAGATATGGGAAATCCACCCAAATGACCCCAGAAGTGTTTTTTTTTTGCTAAACCTCTCTAAAAAGGTAAAATCACTTGTTTTGCGTCAATCATGATACAGGGTACTTATTATATGTTGTACTTTGGACTCCTAAAGCTTTTAGTCTTGTGACGAAGGTAACTTCGTCACTATGGACTGACGGCTTCAGGCCGGGTAATATTGCACTTTATTAGCGTGATTGCACAGTACAGTTGACATTACATATTTGCACATAATTCATACTAATTATTGAGGTAGTATCTTTTAACTGATTAAACCGTATTTATTGGAATGTTGTCTGGCAGGTACTGGTCGGGTCCTCGGCTCCGCCTGAAAAGATAGGGGAGTTTGCGAGAGCGCCGAGAGTAGTTATGCTGGTGTAAGGATGACAGCGGTTGAGAGTAATCAGGGTGCAAATAATATGTTGTCTGTGGCTGATGATTGTGTGCACCTGGTGTCCTGTGTTGTCTCCTCCCCCCCTCACCTGTGTCTTGTTGTGCTGATTAGAGTGTGTGTATTTAGGCTCTGTTTCCCTGTCTGTTGAGGAGGCTGGTAGGTGTGTGAGATCCTTGTGGCTGCAGGTTGTGCAAGGAGAACAGCAGGATTGAGGATGTGAACTTTGTGCACATGATTTTAATAAATGCCCAAGTCGGGTTATATTTTTGGACGTTCTGCCTCTGCCTCTTTGCTTGGTCTGGGCTGCTCAACAGTCAGTCTCACAAGTCTACTAACTCATCATCCAAGGTTAGTTTTCACTATAAGTAAAAAATAATTTTTGGACGGACACTATAATTTACAGTTTTTTTACTATGTTCAATCTGAATTTTCTTTAAAATAAAAAACATCTATATTGATTCTGACTTTTCTACATCCAACTCACAGGTTTATCATTACTTTGAGAGAAAAGATTATTAATGTAACCCTTTTAGAAGGGAAGATATGGTCATTTGTTCTGGGAATGTCATTTTCGAGCCTGAGACCTGAAAAACAGGCTCAGGGCTTAAGTAGGTGAATTAACTCAAACACGTCATGTTACAATTATTTTGCTGCTTGCTACAAAAGGAAAACTTGCGCGGCTCTCATGTCAGGGGTACTTGAGTGAGTGACATGCATGCAAACCACCAATCACAATCATTCTTGATCAGATCACAGCAGGCCCCGCCCCGCTAGTTTGCAGACCAACAAAACACCGGTAAAAAATTAGCGAGGCACAGGAGGACAATACCTTAATCCGGTTAAATATAGTTAAAAAAAACGCAATATATATCGCAGTGGGGGGAAAAAAATCGCAATGTCAGTTTTTTTCAATATCGTGCAGCCCTAACATGTAGCACATAACATATAGCACAACATAAAGTTCACAAACAATATGCAAACAAATGTTGCATCTTTGAAGTGCTAAGGGGATTGAACTTCCACTGGAGTGTAGACCATTCAAATATAACAGAGCAGGATACTAAGTAAGTAGTATTAACTTGAATAGAATCATCAATAATTATTGCCCTCAATGTTGTCTGTATATACTGGTGGTATCACCAATGGTATTAAATATAAATATTATTCAGGGTACTGTATTTAAATGAGAAATTCCAGTTTCATGACAACAATAGTTACGGCGTACTGCCACAGGCAAGAGGGAAGCCAGCTCCGGGGATAGGTCCCAAAAAAAGGGTTCTTTCAAAACCGAGCGGCCGCCAAGTTAAAGCTCTCAGAACTTTTTAGAGAAGTACTGCTGTCACTGTGGATGAAGCGCTCCCCACTGCCCTGCTACTTTTCTGCAAAATAGAAAATGCTATATGGACACTTGGCGTAAGATGCAGCTGAGAAAGTATACATTATTTTGTTTTATTCGTTTTGTAGTTTTGCAACTTGGAGTACTGCAAGTGTCAAGTGTACTTGACATATCTTAAAGTTAAGTATGTTGTTTATTTAACATCCGTGCATCATGCCGTGGCCTTATTTCATTTAAAATGTGATACTTCTTTGAGTTCACTTACATAAGCCTACGGTATGTCAGTTAGGTAAATGTCCCCGCCGTGGGGGAAAGGCCTGAGTAAGCAGGGGACAAAATGAGGTTAGATCTTATCCCCTCGGGGCATCTATTGATACAACAGCTTGCACCTGAGCAGCTAATGCTTCTGGAGAATATGTTTTCTTTTTATGGAGGTAGGGTCACATGTAAAGTGGCACTCTTCCTTAATCCCACAGTAAGCACAAGCGTAGTGGATACATTGTGCAACGTCAGTACAGGAGATTAGACCAGGGTGCCCCACTTCCTCTCCGCCGCCACCTCCCCGCTGATCACCCCCGCGATAGTGGGAGGGGAGGGATGCATCGATGAGCATTTATGAAACAAGGGGCGGGAAGAGTCACGCATCGGAAAAGTACTTAAGGCATAACCCCAATTTATTCTGTGCCCATGTGTTTGTGTAAAGCAGGGTCCCGACGCACTCTCCAGGTGCAGAGAGTAGGCTGAGCGTGCAGACATGTCCGGTCGTCCTGCTGCAGAGATGGTCGACTCACAGGAGCTGCCCGAGCTGCCGGTGAGTGTGCACACAGTTTAACACAACACAAAGTGGGGGGTTGGGGGTTTGCATTAATAACGTTCTCTTCCAATTGGTTTTAAGTTGTAACTGTACATGGTTTTCCGCAAAAAAAATTTTTTTACCTAATTCTTACATTTCTGGTAAATCAACATTCATGAGGGTCATTGAGGTCAAGCTTTCTTTTTCGAGGACGCTCTATAACAGTGCGATATTTTACAGTAACACAAAGAAGCAATTATTCGATTATGTAGGTGTGTGTATATATATATATATTTTTTTTTTAGGGATATTTAACTTTTATTTCTCTGTATTGTAAGAAACTGAATTTCGATCTCCCTGTCTGTATCTCACACACAGAAGATTGACAATAAAGTTGATATAGAGATACTCATCAACAAAGGCCAAGGACATCACATAAGATACATCATTAATTCATAGAAAAGACATGAATTCACACTGCTCTATGTTGGTTGAAATATATTTAAATTTGATTAAAAGGGAATCCTTGGTGTACTTTGACTTGTTTTTGCAGATTGTTTCCCTTCTTTTCAACAGAGTATTTAACAGGTTTATGGTGGTTTTCTTATCTAAGAAGTTCGAACACACATGATGAATTTGAGGAGCAAATTGTCTCTGGGTCTATTGCAATGTGAATGTGTTCTATATTTTTTCTCGTGTCAATAAAACATAAAAGAATAACTGACAGCTATTGTTCCAAAGTAATTACTGGGCTCAACAATTTGTAATAATTGGCACTAACTTGTTCGGGCTAGCTGATGATGGAATTAGCTCCGATAGATCTTCCTTCTCTCCTCAGTTGAGAGTTGCAGCAGCGATCAGGCACGTTTTAGTATATCTATGATGCACGTTGTTCTTGTGTCTGTTTTTTTTGCTTATTTAAAAAAAATGTACTTTAGTGGGTTTTTTTCTTGATATCTGGTGACAGGAAAGTCTTTTTTGTATTGACCTTAACCTGTTCGCGGGCTACGGGGCTTTTTTTGACGATATGAACAATTTTTACCGAAACAAAACACAAGTCTAACACCGAGAATTTGAATTAGCACTAAGCGAAAGAGTGCTAACGCACTTAGCACATAACTCACGATAGAAATATTTGATACTTCATCGGATCTGCACAAAATATTTCATATGAAAGCTGAGATTCCACAGATTCCAATGGTATAAGTATCATCACTGAGCGACCAAAACTCGCGGCAGCGAAAGCGAAACAAGACAACACACAACTTAGCTTTACGGGGCCAAAGCGGCAAATACGTCTTACCTTTGCTGTTTTCTGATCAAAAGTTGTGTTCAATGGCATTCAAACGCTGCTGAAGGTTAATCCAGTGTCTCTGTCACTTTGAAATGATTACTGATAATCCATCATCATATTTATGGCAATAAGTCTAATTTTCTGAGCGTAACGTAGCTTTCGGTTTGGGCAAACTGCGTGCGCATCACTCTCACTCCTCAATGGTAACGTATAGATGGATTTGAGGAACTTCCCTCTCGATTCTATTGGCTCTAACGGTTGAAAAGAGGTGTCAATCACCAAAATCAACCAATGGGTTCCAGAGAAACGGCAAATACACCCAAATGACCCCAGAGGTGGGTTTTTTTCTCTAAATCTCTCTAAAAAGGTCAAATGTCACTTGTTTTGCATCAATCTTGATACAGGGTACTTATTATATGTTATAGTTTGGATTCCTAAAGCTTTTAGTCTACCATCCCATCATTCAAGGGTGGTTTTCACTATAAGTAATGGGTTTTCTTTGGACGGAAACTGTAATTTAAATAGTTTTACTATGTTCAATCTGAATTTACTGTAAAATAAAAACATCTATATTGATTCTGACATTTTTCCTACATCCAACTCACAGGTTTATCATTGCTTTGAGAAAAATGTTACCCCTTTTGAAGATATAGTCATTTGTTCTGGGAATGTCATTTTCGTGCCTGAGACCTGAAAAATAGGCTTGGGGCTTAACTGGTTAAGTATTTTTTTCATAATGTGCTGGACCTTTTTTAAATAAAATATTTTTTTTTGGGCTACAGTATTGAGAAAGTAAGATGCATATCGCAGTCATATACAAATAGCTATTTTTACCTTTGTTTTGTGTGTTTGCAGGCAAAGAAGGCTAAGCTTGAGATAGACGGTGGACTGGAAGAAGAGGCGAGGTTGGTCTTCACTTCAGTGATTTTAGATCTGTCCTGTTCTTTTTAACTGCTGCCTACTTTTTCTGATGGAAAACCAAATCAATACAATAGACTTCATTAAAAAGAGATGTTTTGCATGATGTCAACATTTTTTCATTCAAGGATCTTTTGAGGATTTGGAATTAAATGTTATATTATATTACGTCCTCTCAAAAAAGAATGAAGGATTTTTATTTATTTATTGTGGTTTTACAAATGAAAAGGTTGTTTCTCTCAGATTACTGCTATCCGCCTCGAGGATAAAGGGGCCTGCCTTTCTTTGTGTGCGGAAAGCAGGAGATGCCGCAGTGAACACTTTCATGGCAGCATAAATGTTGTTATAAAAGGCAAAACAAAAAAACGAAAATAGACTAAAGCAGAATATTTCGTTAGATAAGAACATGTTGTGAATTTTGGAAATGATAACAACTATATATTTTCAATACATTTTAGCTTTTGACTCAGGTCGTAAACAGTCCTCCAAAATGGAACCCTTATTCTCCAAATAATATAATACTAATAATAGGAAAGGGTAATCACTATATGCGATGCGACGATGCAGGAAGAACTGCTTTAAAGGAATAAAAACATCCAATTTTTTGACTTGAATATTATTTGTATTATTTTCCCAGTCATTTAGGTGAGCATAGGGGTCGGGCTGCTGTGTTGGGATCCTCCGAGCAGGAAAGCTCTTACTCTGCTCTGTCCACAGCCCAGCTTGATCCAGGTGAGTGGAACATGTGACAGCTCTCTAAGAATTGTTTCCTGGATGGTACTGACAGTGTGTGTGTGATCGCAGGTGATCAGGAACAGTCAGACGCCGGCAGAGGAGCGGCACCTCAAGCATGCGGCGACTCCATGAACTCGTATGCACATCCTGGTACGAACAGAATCTGTCTCGGTACTAAAGAAGCACATTCAAGAAGGCTGCTCTTGTTTGTCAAACTAAAACTGTTTTTTGTTTTTGTTTAACAGTTACAGACTCAACGGCAACATCTGAATACACCCAACAGGTTTATCAAGGAAGCAAGTGCGTACTCTGCATGAAACAAGTGTGATATGTAATCAGCGGTGGTGCACCTATTGCAGTATTTTTTTTGACAAATTCTATTTTTTTTAGAGTCAGACTTTATGATTCCAATTTTAATTTCTTACTAAGAACCTTCTTTGTAAGCAACTGCAAATATCTATTCTGGCTATAAAGGCCTTTTATATAGAGTTAAGTAAGTATTAATATGAATCTAAATCTATATATTTATTTGTACAAAATGATGAGTAAGTATCTACTATCGTTTGAAATGTATCGATTCCGATTCCGGTTCTGCTTATCGATTCCGGTTCTTATCGATTCCCCCTTTCGATTCCAAAATTGTAAAAGAAATAGGTCAAACGTTTAGATAACAAAAATATCTTTATTCTTTTAAGCTTTAACTGACATTTTTACAAATAACAAATATACATGCAATACAAATGTATTGCACAATAGCTGTGCTTTATTTTAACTGAGCTATGCCTGTGGCAAGCTATTAACAGGCATTACACTGTGCCTTGTCTTTTTCTTTTTTAGTGTAGTGGAGCCTCACTTCAGAGCGTTTACCTCGACCCATCTTTGGTGTTATGAAGTGACTGAGCTCGTGAACTGTCTACGGGAGGGGGGGGGGAGCCTCAATGCGGGGCAACTGTGGACCTCTGTCGCCTGTCAGCGCAACTTACGTGATGCTGTTTAAAAAAATTAAGCCCGCTGACGACCGGCCGTTCTGTGATTCTCCAGAACACACAGATGGCCAGTCCGCCCTTACCCTGTATTCCACCGGGCCACCGCGGCGCAGACGGACCCGGTGGAATACAGGGTCTATCGCGTTTAGGAACCGTTAAGCAGAACCGAAATTGTGTATTTTGTACGGGTACCCGGTACCCGGCATTTTCTTATCGGTTCTCATCTGGAACCGAGTTTCAGTTCCCAACCCTAGGTGTGTACTTTATTTATTCTGCAGCAAGTATTGTTGTGTTGTGCGGCAAGACAAATGGGAGGTCTCGACAGAAGAGACCACTCTGAGCAGCATGTGTATGTTGTTCCTTTAACAGAAATCTTCTGCTTTTATGCACCCTTTTCTTTATAAAATGTTCCTGCATCACCTCCTTTAAGAAATTAGATAAAAAAGGGTTTAATTTGCATTCAAAGGTCTTAATTCTATCTGTTGAATATCTTTACCACCAGTAAAGACATTGGAAGTGGATTTAAAAAATACATTCTGATCTTGCAATTTCAATTCTAATTCTTATTGACAAGATAATTTACCTGAAGCGAAAAACATGGGGAAGTGTGAAAGAAATGACAATTGGTTGTTCAACCAACATGCCTTCATTTAGTTTTTTTACGTTTGTCTTACATTTAGTCTGAAAGACTTTAAAGAGTTTTGAATCCAACTTAAACTATAGGATTCTATTGTAATTCCTGAATTACTTCCTGGCCTGATTAGCATGAACCACATTTAGTCTTGACCCCAATAATAGATCCAAGGCTTTCTTGGTTACTGCCTATTATTATTATTATTATTATTATATTTATATATCAGTATGTTGAGAATTTTTTTTATATTTACTAAGATGTCAAGACCATGGGAAGATTGACACCGCCACAAAGCCACTTGTTTTACATGAATGAAAAACAATCTTAAACATTCCAAAGAAACAAAAAAGCCCAGGTAAAAACAGTTGGCGCTGCAGCAGTGTTGGCGTTGTAGGAGAGAAGAGAGCAGAACACGTTGTTGTAACTGGTGTTAAGATAGTGAGAAAATGAGGATTGAAAATGTCTCACATATTTAGTAGAGATGTATATATTTTTGACCACCTGCAGGTTTGCCTAGTTTGATTGTACTGATTTCCTCTCTTTCTCTCTCAGCCCAGCAGTGACGTCATACACCAACCAGGTGGCCTTCCCTCCTCTGGCCCAGTCCACTGTGTACTCTGCCTTCCCTCAGACAGGCCAGACCTACGGCCTCCCGCCCTTCGGTTAGTCCCGCTCTTAGTCTAAAGCCTATTTTAACTCTCTGCTCACTAAAAACCTAGCACCACCTTTTTATTACTCTGCTTTGGCGCTCTGGAATCAATTTGCTTTTGATCTCTGCCTAAACATCCTGACTGAAGGACCTGGTTTCTGAACTTTGATCCACTTCTCACGCCGCCTCCTTCATTTTCTGCTTCCATTGCTCTCTTTCTTCTTCAGGTGCTATGTGGCCAGGCATTAAAACTGAGACAGGGCTGCCTGAGGCGCCCTCTGGTGGCCAGCCTGGGTTTCTCAGCTACAGCACCGCATATACCTCCACCCAGCCCGGCCAGCTGCACTACTCATACCCCAGCCAAGGCAAGCCGCAGCCTCACTGTCTCACAACATAACGCCTTCGCACTCTCTTCAAACACTGGAAGCAATGAAAACTCTTGCAGCAGCACAGCTCTGTCCTCCTCTCTTGTTAATCACTTTATATACTTTAACTTTCCTCTGGCACTGTTTTACTTAAGCTCTCTCTTTCTCAGGCTCAAGCTTCACAACATCCAGTGTGTACTCCAGCATCCCTTCAGCGACAGCCGTCCCCACAACCTCCCCCACAGCGGCCCACCAGGTGAGGACAAGACTCTCTGTGTGCTAATGTTCATGCACTCATGAGTGCAAGAGTAGGACAGATTTGTTTTCAATAAATAATTGAAGATGTTGGCACAGATGAAACTCCAAAGATCTGTGAAAATGTGAAGAAAAAAAAAAATATATATATATTCATATAAACATAGGAAGTTCAAGTAATGGGCAGCAGACAGCTCAATGTCGTAAAGGCATCCTGGGGCTGAAAAAAACAACTAAGAATTTGCAATAAAACGATTAAATATAGATATTTATGTAATCATAAGTAGTTAAGGTAAATTGTCCAATAAAAGCTATAATAAAATAATATTTAGAAAAGTGCGATAGTCAGACGTTCTCTTTTTGTTAGGACACAACTTTGTGTGTGTGTGTGTGTGTGTACCATCATGCAGCAGTTACAAAAATTCACCGGCAAACTGAAACAGATTTTTTTATGTTATTCTGTTATTCTACGCACGAAAAGTTTATTATTATTATTCCGCCGACTTATTTTGGCCCTCTTCTCCTCCCGCATTGAACATCGCAGAAACTCCGTTCAAAACGTTCAGCTCGGTCGGGAATTGATGGCTATTACTTTTCTCATTCATAACTTTCATAATTCCAGAGATACATCCCATAATACATCACATTTTTAACCATTGAAGTCAATGGAGAAAATCTTCAACTTCAACAAATCTTCATGCGACTTCAACTGCTAACTGTTCATTCATACTTTCAAATGTTACACATCTTTCTCACATTATTCGTGTAAAACAACTTTTAAATCTGATTCTTACTTTTAGAGATATTAAACATTTTTCAGACCTTGGTAAAGAGGTTTTCTTCAGATTCTAACATTAACTAGAGTGCGTGATGTCACAGCTAGAGGGTAGAAAATCTTGAAATGTACCTTCATATATTTTTTTAAAACTGCCATAATTCCCAAACCCTACATTCCATAATTTATTATGACAAACGTAGGAAAACATCTCGTAATATATATAATAATCAAGCAAAAATAATTAAACAAAATGCCTCTTGAGGCATGAAGTGACAAAAACGTTCAACATGCCTCCATTAAAGCCCATTGTAATTTCAGGCAGATATTTCCTCACGGTAGCAGCCGCACACCTTTAGTTAAACTGCCAAAAAGGCCACATTATTAACCCGAAACTACACAAAAATTACACTTCAGATACTCAACTTCTGGAAGCTGAGAGAGAGAGAGAGAGAGAGAGAGAGAGAGAGAGATATAGATATATAGAGAGAGAGAGATATAGATATAGATAGATAGATATTTTAGAACGTTACCTGGCTCTAAACAGAGAGTATGAGCTGGCAGAATATCTCTCTACTGTCAGAGATAGAAAGCAGAGACAGATCCTAACCAAGTACAGGCTCAGAGAGAGAGAGAGAGATGTTTGCCAATCAGATTTATTTTTGCTATTTGTATTTTTACAAATATTTTGTTGTGGAAGTCTCTCTTATTGCCACAGAACCTGAAGACATTACTGTTATGGTACATAATAGGAGAATTGTTTGTGTCTCCTGTTGATTACGTTTGCTTGTTATATTGTGGTGCAGGAGTTCAGCAGCTACACCTCTCTGGGACAGAGTCAGTTCTCGCAGTACTACGCTCTGCCTCCCAGCTACACCCCCGCCGGGCTGCCCAGCAGCGAGGACCCTGGGGCCGCTTTGGGAGTGGCCGGATATTCAGCGATAAAGTCAGAGCAAGCCGCCTCTGCAGGTTTACCTCCCAGAGGTAACCTAATAACTGTTATTTATAATATTATGATATAACCATAGATTGTGAAGACACACCCTGTTGTAAAAACATGTTGGCACATACTCAACAAGGTGCTGAAAAAAATCTCTGCTGGGTTATATTGCACTAATTCAAAGACTTGACATCTTCATTTCTCTTTGACTTCAGATGTTGGTTAAAGCACTTCAAAGTTAATCATAATACACAAATGACATATTTCCTGTGTGCACGATGTTTCTGTGTGCACGAATTTAGCAAGGGAACTGCATCTGAAAGACTTATAGTTAAATATGTTGGTTGCTGCATATGCATCTTCCTGAGGGCAGTTCATTAATTAGTTGAAGAAAATAAAAAGGCATGCATGGGACCAGACACAAGTTGTGCAGTCTATGGTCTATTCAGCATTTTATGCTGATAATACATCCGAGTTGTTTCCCACTTTACCAGCCTCGTTTGTAATTCCGACTAACTTCAGACTTTCCTGTATTAAGATGCATCCCCTCCAGAGAACCTCCCAGCTGGGGCAGCCCTCCCCACCAGTGTGGCCCTCCCCCCCGGAGCCAGGGACCAGGACGAGGTTGGACGCAGGAACTCAGTAGGCAAATCCAAAGGGAAGGGCAAGAGGCCCGACAGCTCCCCGCCTGCTGACACCGACCTGGAGGTAACACAGGTGTTTACACACATAAACATTGAGGGGTTATTCCCCTGAGGCCTGTACTACAAAGCCGGATTTTCGCTTAGCTAACTTCAGGGAAAACTCGGGGTTTCCGGTCCTACGACGCTGGTTCTCTTTTTAGCGGGCTAGATCTCCATGGTAACTTATGCTGTGCGGCTAACCTGGGGGGTATACTACGAAGCAGGATTTTCGTTTAGCAAGATAACTTCTGGGATTTCCGGTACTACGAAGCTGGTTCACTTTTTAGCGGGCTAGATCTCCATGGTGACTTATCCTGGAACCTAGTCTGTGCTCCGAAGCAGGATAGGTTCCAGGATAAGAGATCAACTCAGCGAAAACACCACGCCTGCTGACCAATCAGAGCTCAGTGTGCGGAGGAAATACAGGAAAGACGGCCGTTGCAGGAAAGACGGCCGGCCAAAATCACTGACTGTGTGAACGTGAAAATGAATAGAATATCACCTCCCATCTTCAGAGCAATCTGACTATTATAACTATTATACTATTAGGCTATGTTAAGAAAGCTTAATTAAATATCTGCCACAACATAAGTAACCGGATCAAAGTAACATTACGTAGCCCACAGTCAGCGGCACTGTGAGTGCAGACGTCGATGTGTCCCATCATTCATATCACATCATAATGTATCATATATTGAACGTGAACATTAATAGAATATCACCTCCCATCTTCAGAGCAATCTGACTATTATAACATTAGCGTTAAGAAAGCTTACTTAAATATCTGCCACAACACAAGTAACCGGATCAGAGTAACATTACGTACAGTCCGCGGCACTGAGTGCAGACGTCGATGTGTCCCATTATCATTCATATCATATCACATCATAATGTATCATATATCTCCTTATCTGAGTCAGCTGAGCCGTATCTGGCCGTGCAACATTCAGTGTCACATACTGTATGCAGAAGTATTATTTTAAGCAACACATTAAGTTGACGAAACACTCGAGACAAATGTAATTAAAGTCAGATCGTGTCTTAGACGGGGCAGTGATATCATAAACCTGTTAATGTACGCATTCAAACACTTTTTCTGTTACCAGCTGTATTCACCTTGCAGGTGCAACTATGTGACTTTGATCCTGGATAAAGTGTTTAAGTCATGGATGTTTAAAGTTTAACTTCTTCATATGTCTAATATTATAGTTGACTTTTCATTCAGGAAGTAAGACGCTGCGCTGTCAGTACGCTTCTCCATGTTTGTGATTGGTCAAATGCTCCAGATACCACCCCTTTTATGTGAACGCGCACCTAACTAGATAGGACACGGCTGGCTTGAGCGATCCACTTGATAACCCGCGTCGTAGGACAGCTGAGCGAGAGCGCGAGAGTATGTTTAGGATTAGGCCAACCGGCTAACTCAAACATATCCAGGTTAGGTTGAACCGGCTTCGTAGCACAGGCCTCTGGTCTCTAGCCTAGCAGCATTAACAGTTTAGCCACTACCAACAAATCACGCGATGCAACACACACATGAAAAATATTAATATGATTTAGTAGTAAATCTTTTCTTCTGTCAAATTAAAACGTGGTATGGATAGACACCATTTTTTCAAAGAAAGTAGCGGTGTACTTATATCACGGCCTTCACATAATAATAATGATATCTTATTATTAATACTAGGGCTGCACGACTTTGAAAAAAAAACCTTATTAGTATATGTTTTGACTGAATCTGCAATATCGATTATGATTTGCGATTATATTATATTGTAATGGTGTGCTTTATTTATAAGTCTGTAGATTATTATTATTATTATTAATAATTCATTCATGTTAAACAAAAAAGAGACAACATGCACAATATTCTCACTGTGTAGCAATATTCTAACTATATTTGATCTTCGATCATCCCCATGTTTTCCCAAATGTTTTGGCCACGATAATCATTTTGTAAAAAACTGATATCATGATTGCCAAAATGCTAAGTTTAATTATACTATTATAATGATCTTTCTCTGCTCTTTTTAGCGCATTTTTCTCTGGGATCTGGATGAGACCATTATTATATTCCACTCACTGCTCACCGGATCCTACGCACAGAAGTTTGGCAAGGTTTGTTTCAGTCAATAAACTCAATCATACAAAATCAAAAATAAAAGGTGTGAAATATTTATTGTGTGTGTACTGTGTGTTCAGGAACCAGCCACAGTGCTGAACCTGGGCCTGCAGATGGAGGAGCTGATCTTCGAGCTGGCAGACACCCACCTCTTCTTCAACGACCTGGAGGTACAGTCAGATACGATCAGGGTGGTGTCGCCATGAAGCAGAAAGAGTTTTCACTTTCTTCCATCACGAAATAAGATGCACTAGAAAATGCTCCTAATTGTATATTACATTTCCTGACCTCCTTTTTAAGATCCCTCAGTTCTAGAGAAACTCATTCACAGAAGTTACTTAGAAAAAGTTGAGGACACATGGACTGTCAATCAAAACATATTGAACTTCTAGAGATGTAGCAATAGTTCAGAGCTTCATTCGTGACGCTTACATCAGACTTTTTTTTTGCTGCTCTGATTTTTTTTTTCTAACACTAACGTTAATCATACTATAGTAGATTCTAGTGTTGTTTGCATAGAGTTGAAGAGTCCAAAAGTCAGCATTTCTTCTCAAATATTCTGCTATAATCCATATTTGTTGTTTTTGGTGTTTAGTATATTAAAAATAACAGACATTTAAAGCTCAATTGAAAATGTCAATAGAAGCTTTTGAATGTAATTACAAGACACTAAGTAAAGCGATGAAAAATACCTCTTCTCATCCAACAAAAACTAAAGATCCAACTCATCTCAAGCGTATACATTATTTGTATGACTTTTCCAGCTGCATGTGATTTTTTAAGTTTTTGTTAAAGTGAAACAAAAGGTTTGGTTAAAAATAAAATGATATTGCAATTTGTAAAAACATTTTTTTGTCTTCTCCCATTTCCTAAGGAATGTGATCAAGTCCATGTGGAGGATGTTGCCTCTGATGACAACGGACAGGAGCTGAGGTGTGTTATCCTGTAACTTCATATATCACACACATATTGGCCTTATTTCACACGTATGACTTGGAGGCAGATTATGTTCCCTTCATCCAAACCAATCATAAGTGTTTCTTCCTACTTCAGTACCTACAACTTCTTGACGGATGGCTTTAACGGGGCCAGTGGTGGGGGGACGTCAGGAGGCACCACAGGGGTGCAGGGGGGCGTGGAGTGGATGAGGAAACTGGCCTTCCGCTACCGCCGGCTAAAAGAGATCTACAATAACTATAAAGGGAATGTTGGAGGTGGGTTTGAATCAATAATACAATTTATGTTATGTGTTTTGTATCTGCAATTTGCACTTATAAAAACCTGATAGGAAACTCCAAAAATATATAAAAGTCTTGAAATATTGCAAAATATCATCAGAACATTTAGGAAGCGCATTATTGCAGTAATTTTTAAACACATTAGTGTTAAATGTATGTTTTTCATGATACGCTGGTAGTAATATCTACATGTTGTAGTACTGAGCGTATATTCTGCATGTTGTGTGCTGCAGGCCTGTTGAGCCCGCTGAAGGGGGAGCTGCTCCTCCGGCTGCAGAGTGAGATCGAGAACGTTACAGATGCCTGGCTCAGCACGGCGCTCAAGTCTCTGCTGCTCATCCAGTCCAGGTCAGAACACAGGTCATCCTTTCAAATAGAAATCTTAAAGGCCACACTCAGAGGCCCAATGAGTAAAGTGTGCCCTAGGTTTGGCTAATAAGATTAGGTAGATTTGGTGACTAGGTGTTTTCTCAGCAACCCAAATAAGTCGTTTTAAATTATTTATTCAGAAGATTATGGATTCCAAGAAACTGTTTTTAAAAAGGAAATGTGTGTGTGTGTGTGTGTGTGTGTGTGTGTGTGTGTGTGTGTGTGTGTGTGTGTGTGTGTGTGTGTGTGTGTGTGTGTGTGTGTGTGTGTGTGTGTGTGTGTGTGTGTGTGTGTGGTGGTGTGTGTGTGTGTGTGTGTGTGTGTGTGTGTGTGTGTGTGTGTGTGTGTGTGTGTGTGTGTGTGTGTGTGTGTGTGTGTGTGTGTGTGTGTGTGTGTGTGTGTGTGTGTGTGTGTGTGTGTGTGTGTGTGTGTGTGTGTGTGTGTGTGTGTACCAGGGGGAAGTGTATGAATGTGTTGGTCACCACCACTCAGCTGGTGCCAGCTCTGGCCAAGGTGCTGCTGTACGGCCTGGGAGACGTCTTCCCCATCGAGAACATCTACAGTGCCACTAAAATAGGTACGTATAAAAATTGTTAATACAATATTTTCTTCTCCTCTGGGACTAAGAGGGAAATGTTGGGATTGTAATATTTTTTATTTCATTTCCTGCAGGTAAAGAGAGTTGCTTTGAAAGGATCGTCTCTCGCTTTGGAAAGAAAGTGACGTACGTGGTGATAGGTGACGGTCGAGATGAGGAGTTTGCAGCAAAACAGGTATGTCTCCTTAAGCGGCGTGCGTTGAAGCTTGCCGGCGGGCGTGTCTGACGCTCGACCAACAACTAATCACATGAATCTCCCGCCCCGGACACACAAGCACGCGGTTTGATTGGCTAGAGCTTGTACTGGCATATGATTTGATTGGCTGACGCTTCCGTCGAATCAAAAGTTGAACATTGCTCAACTTTTGAAGCGAGCAACACGAGCAAAGCGAAGCAACGCTCCCGCAATGCAGTTCGGCAAAGTGTGACGTCAGGGTTGGGCGGGTTACTTTGGAAATGTAATCAGTTACTGATTACTGAATACATGGCTCTGAAAGTAATCCGAATACAGTTACAGTTACGTGTCTTAAAAAAGTAACGTAATCAGATTACTTTTGGATTACTTTCTTTTTCCATCACAGATGGGTATGTTTTGGTGAACAGGAGACACAAAAAGCAAAAGGAAACTGAACGTGTTTTTACTGTTTTAATGGATTATCAAGAGCACAACTGAAACATAACATCTGAAACGATGCAACAACATAATACACTTTTTGGGGATGCAGCTTGGGATGTGAGGAGTGAGGGACACGGCTTAGAACGGGCGTGTCGCCTTTTGTCCTGCCAGTGTTGGCAGGACATGAATTAAAATGTCGAACTCGGACTTCATTTTAAGGACATTTTGGCCTGGGGTGTAGAGCTATATTTGTTTAAGCACCGGATTGGCAAAACAGGAGAGATCTATGTATTCATGTCCGTGACTCTCACAGTATCTGCTGCCCGCAGCTGTTTTATAGAAGGAAAACCTCCTTCACTTCATGAAATCTCTGCAGCACCAGGAGGCAGCGGGAGGGTTAACTCAGCCTCTGAGAAGAGGAGCGTGCAGTGCCTTTCACGCACCGCCTTCATTGTGTTTACCTTCAGAATCATAAGGCTAAAGAGCGACCGCAGGCTGATGTGTTTTAACCACACACACATCTACACACACGCGCGATTTAAACGCAGACTTTTGTTCCTCCATGTTTCGTTGTTATTGTTTCACTGAGCGGACCTGCGATTTTTTTTTCAAACGCTCCCTTTTTTGGTCCATCTGCGGCGGTAATAGGTTTTGTGGGCTGTGATGATTCGGCTGTACCTTTAGTAATGAATATTAAATGTTGTGAGGAAATCTTTCCACCAATAATTCCAATAAGTAATCCAACATGTATTCACTTCAGGTTTGCGAAAGTGACTGTAATCAGATTACTCGTTTTTCAAATGTAACGCGAGCTGAATACAGTTACTTGATTTTTGTATTCTGATTACGTAACGCTGTTACATGTATTCCGTTACAACCCAACCCTGGACGTCACCCCATTCAAAGTGAATGGGCAGAAGCATTGAAGCTTCAATGCGCGTGTGGACGGACCGTTACGCCTGCCTTCTTTTGTGTTTGTCGTTTGCCCAGAAAATTTGGCAAATACAAGTACAGTCGCTGCAAGTCTAGCTTTTTGTGTTAAGAAAGAGTGGGATGGATTATATATTTTCTGAGATAAACACGCACACAATGGAAATTATTTCAAATTTGCTACAAACGTAAAAACTCTAGAATTAACTGACTATGTTTCGTTTTTGTTCCTAACTCAATAAATCATAAGCAATTATAGAATAAAGTCATAACATTTTGGACATACCTGGGTACACTGTTACTTTACTGGCAAAATTACAGTTTTAAGTCTGGTTTTGTTTCTTTGTGAAACCTTAAATGCTGCTTTCTTGACCGGGAGAGATTATGGATCACAATGGGAATATTTCTAGTGAAAATAAATAAACCTGAAATCCAGTCTGAATATCAGGGCAGTGTTTTACTAACAGCTAGTCTTCTGACCATAATGTACTGCTAAGTGTTTGTTTCTGACACTTTCTTTTATTCTTTGGTTGTTCTTGTCTCCTTGTCTGCAGCACAACATGCCTTTCTGGCGGATCTCCAATCACGGAGACCTCGTGTCCCTGCACCAAGCGCTGGAGCTGGACTTCTTGTAAAGGAGGCAGCGTGTGAATGTCGCACACTAAAAGGGAAAATGTAGTCGTCATCCTGTCGGTCTGTGGAGTGACATTACGTGAGAAAACCCTCCACAAACTCTAATTAGAAGCTCTGCCCTGACTGGATGACTCACTGTGTGATGGTAACGTACTGAGGCGGACTTTGGGTCGGAGCGGACAGTGAGACAGACTGGATGCTGAGTTAAGGTTCCTCGGGCCCAGCACTCCCTCCTCTACGGCAGCTAACCTCACCGCGGCTGAAACTGGCACTGATCTGGACACAGAAGGGAAGACATCCATTTGTTTCCCTCCTTTGGTCACATCTACTTTTTTGGTATCAATATTTGTAATCTCCTTAAAAAACCAAAGGGCCATTTTTGTTTATTGGCGTTGTCTTATGTTGTTGTAGCTTTTTTATTTAGTCTCTGTTACTAAGAATGATATCAAAGAAGTTTAAAAAAAAAATCTCTTCTGGGTTATTTTGCACTCATTCAAAGACTTGAAATCATCATTTTGCAGAAGTTACTGGCAGTATCAAATAATCCCAACAACCAAAATCTCGGGTGGCCATTCAGTTATTTAAAATGAGGAATTAGATGAGGTTAAAAAAATGTAACTTGATCATGACCTCCCCTCCTGACCCGATCCAACCACACCAAACCACCAGTCAGATGTCCGGCTTCTTCACTCCGTTACCACACAGACGTGTGGTTCTTATTTTTACACACAGTGTGTGTGACCTGAGGGCAGTGAGCATGCTGGGAATCAGGAGGCGCTGGTCACAGTGACAAAGCTGAATGTGCCTCTTCGTAACACTCAGTAATATATATTATGTATGGTAAAGGGAAGTTAGAAGAGCAGGATCCTCCAAATAAATGTAAAAAAACACATTTATTTCAGCAAGGACTCTGTAGCCAGTAGACAAGAATCATATTTCCCCAGTACCTCATCACAGTATTGGTAAGAAAATGCACGGGTTCTTGAGCATAACAATTAAATTGTGGATACAAATATAATTCAATTGATTAGTTGAAAGAAAATGACTTACGTGGTGATAGGTGAGGTCATCAACTCCACCCAAAACGTATTTAAAATGTTCTACAGGAGTTGACTCGTTTTCCTTTAGGCATTGCATTTTAAGTGCAAAATTACCTAAATGTACTCTTTGGGTATTCTTAATTTTGTCTGGTGGCTAGACGCAATATACTAATGATCTACTTAACATTAGTATAAGCCGCTCAAATCTACAAATTTGGTTAATTAAATGGAAGAATTACATTTTCCTTTTATAGGGTAAGACTTCTTAAACTCTATAAACCATTGAAAAACCTATTAATTACATGAAAAATGCTTTGAAAGAAAGTTAGTTACATGTCTGTTATCTGATTTTATACTATTACTTGTATATATATATAAAGCCGGTTGTTGGTGTTCCTCAGGGAACCGTCCTGGGTATCCTTGCAATCCTATTAGGGGTCTAACTTCTGTCAAATACGTTTTGAACAGTGTTTGGTTAAAAATGGCACAATACGTATTAGATTTTAAATAGTTAGATGACTTGGAGATTGGACAGCTTAATCAGGATAGTGTGACTTTTAACAAACACTCTAAATCATGTTTTCTGTACAGTGAGCATTTTGAAGTCGAGGCAGGGAATTTCGGGGGGGATCTCCCCCATGGATGGATTACAGATCTGTACAAAGAGGCCTGTTTGAAGTTAACATTCACCGAGCTCAGGTAACACTGTGTCCTGTTTTTGTTTTGCTCCCGATCCCTATCAGTCATTTACCTTCAGAGCGAGACTGATCTGTCGGCTTATTAGATATAGCCATATCTTCACTGATAAGTAACAAGAAATCATTGTGCAAAAATATTATTAAGAATATGTTTCCAGCCAAGAACTGTTCAGGATGTACAGTGGGGCAAAACAAGTATTTAGTCAGCCACCAATTGTGCAAGTTCTGCCACTTAAAAAGATGAGAGAGGCCTGTAATTTTCATCCTAGGTACACTTCAACTATGAGAGACAGAATGGGGGGACAGAATCCAGGAAATCACATTGTAGGATTTTTAATGAATTAATTGGTAAATTCCTCGGTAAAATAAGTATTTGGTCACCTACAAACAAACAAGATTTCTGGCTCTCACAGACCTGTAACTTCTTCTTTAAGAGCCTCCTCTGTCCTCCACTTGTTAACTGTATTAATGGCACCTCTTTGAACTCGTTATCAGTATAAAAGACACCTGTCCACAACCTCAAACAGTCACACTCCAAACTCCACTATGGCCAAGACCAAAGAGCTATCAAAGGACACCAGAAACAAAATTGTAGACCTGCACCAGGCTGGGAAGACTGAATCTGCAATAGGTAAGCAGCTTGGTGTGAAGAAATCAACTGTGGGAGCAATTATTAGAAAATGGAAGACATACAAGACCACTGATAATCTCCCTCGATCTGGGGCTCCACGCAAGATCTCACCCCGTGGGGTCAAAATGATCACAAGAACGGTTAGCAAAAATCCCAGAACCACACGGGGGGACCTAGTCAATGACCTGCAGAGAGCTGGGACCAAAGTAACAAAGGCTACCATCAGTAACACACTACGCCGCCAGGGACTCAAATCATGCAGTGCCAGACGTGTCCCCCTGCTTAAGCCATTACATGTCCAGGCCCGTCTGAAGTTTGCTAGAGAGCATTTAGATGATCCAGAAGAGGATTGGGAGAATGTCATATGGTCAGATGAAACCAAAATAGAACTTGTTGGTAAAAACTCAACTAGACGTGTTTGGAGGAGCAAGAATGCTGAGTTGCATCCAAAGAACACCATACCTACTGTGAAACATGGGGGTGGAAACATCATGCTTTGGGGCTGTTTTTCTGCAAAGGGACCAGGACGACTGATCCGTGTAAAGGAAAGAATGAATGGGGCCATGTATCGTGAGATTTTGAGTGACAACCTCCTTCCATCAGCAAGGGCATTGAAGATGAAACGTGGCTGGGTCTTTCAGCATGACAATGATCCCAAACACACCGCCCGGGCAACGAAGGAGTGGCTTCGTAAGAAGCATTTCAAGGTCCTGGAGTGGCCTAGCCAGTCTCCAGATCTCAACCCCATAGAACATCTTTGGAGGGAGTTGAAAGTCTGTGTTGCCCAGCGACAGCCCCAAAACATCACTGCTCTAGAGGAGATCTGCATGGAGGAATGGGCCAAAATACCAGCAACAGTGTGTGAAAACCTTATGAAGACTTACAAAAAACGTTTGACCTCTGTCATTGTCAACAAAGGGTATATAACAAAGTATTGAGATGAACTTTTGTTATTGACCAAATACTTATTTTCCACCATAATTTGCAAATAAATTCTTTAAAAATCAGACAATGTGATTTTCTGGATTTTTTTTTTTCTTCTAATTTTGTCTCTCATAGTTGAGGTATACCTAGGATGAAAATTACAGGCCTCTCTCATCTTTTTAAGTGGGAGAACTTGCACAATTGGTGGCTGACTAAATACTTTTTTGCCCCACTGTATCTTGAACACATCTTTATCAAGTTTGCATATAATGGAAATACATCTGCATTTTCTTTGGCCTACTCTGTCAATTTGGTGTAAAGGGAAAGTTTGCCACATATATGTGGATGTCCAATCAGTTTCAACAGGAGAAGTACATTCTTCAGTGCATGCTATATTGACTGTAAAAGCTGAGGTTACCTTCTCACAGGCTTTAGTCAGCCAATCACTGAAAAATGTGTCTTAATCCATAACCTCATCTGCACTCATATTTTGTGATGTCATTTTCGGCGTAACTAGTTTGCGTACAAGCCAAATTACATGGAAGTTATTTGTTATGCCACCTTGACAGCCGTGACAGGAATCATCACGTTTCCGGATTTTCCTTCCGTGTATCTTTCCCACAGTCTTGTGATATGTTCAGCAAAGCTATTAGGGAATTTCTTCAAATTTGGCAGAAAGATAAACTGGGACTCAAGCATGAACTGGTTATAATGTGGGGGTCAGCTTCACTGTGAACACACAACACATATTGTCTATAACTCGAGATTCAGTTACACAATTTAATTCAACACGTTTAGCAAGTAATGGAATGTCATCTAGAGAGAACTGTCTGACTACCCCTAAGGGGAAATGTAAACTGAAGTATTCTCGGAACTTCTTTCTATAAATCACTTTCAAAGGAACTTAATTCGCTGCCCATACTGTTCAGGATGTGGGTGTAGATCTGCAGAAGCAGGAAGCGTTAGACAAAAGGTCTCTTTCTCCAACATGTACTAAACTGAAATTCAGCTGCGGTTTTTAAACTGACAGCAGCACTGAGATAATCCGTCCGCTCTCTCAGTCTCTGGACTCGGATAACGCATTAAGGAGGGTAATAATAACTTAAAAGATGTTTCATTTGAAACCGCCTTCTGCTCCAAGTAAAGCATCTCACCCCATGAAGAGAGCAGGATACATAAAGCTGGAAAGCCAATTGGGAAAAACGAGGCAAAAAATGACGTGTTAGCCAGTAGAATACCATTTTATTAATTTGACATGTCATCATCAGATTCTTTGTTGCAATCAATGTCGAAATGATAATATACCAAAACATGTAAATTGCATACTTCTGTTTCTGTTTCCCAGTTTGTCAAGCATTCATTGTATTAGATAGTTAAAAACTATAGCTGCAAAAAATGATTATTGTCATTATTGAAAATGGTGCAGATTATTTTCTTTTGTTCTTGATAACTCAACAACTTGTCAATAGAAAAAAAGAATCGGCATCTATTTTGAACATCATTTTGGTTAGAATTGTGCAATTGGCTGGTTCCTGCTTTGCAAATTAAATATTTGATGTTTTTCTTTGACTCATGATTGTAAAGTAAACATATTTAGCTTTTGTTATATTAATCCTTCATATTTCAAAAGCCCAAACATATTTCAAATAAGAGGAATAAGAAAAATTGCAAATGTTCACAGCTACCCAAGTGAATTCAGAATGAGAAAGTGAATTGTGGTACTTCTGCTTTAAGAAATGACTCTGATTGTCAGAAGAGTTAGCAGAGGGATCATTCATTCACGCATCTGTACATTGAGATGTTTAGTTGTCAGACATCTGAGAACCACAGAATCACTTGTACAGCTTTAGTTTTCATTCACAACCTCTGGAAGGCGCATTGTAACACACGGTGATGACAGTGCAATACATTTTACTTTGCTCATTAACCGTATTTAAGGGATTCTCATTTTGTGGAAAACCCAGAGGGTCCGTATGAGATTATGACTGACCAATTCTGAGCCTGAAGAAGATTTATTATTTACTGTCATGCAGCTTGACCGTTAAGAATCTGTATTTTTCTCTGTCTTGTGTTTCTGTGTATGTATATTGATCCTTTATCCATCATCCGTATGCATCATCTCAAAGGGAAATATGTAAGTCTTTTGTTTGATACATTTATCACTGCATTGTTCTATTATCTAAAGTGTTATCTTACTTCTTTTTTTTAACTCAAGTGTTTTGATTTGTCCTTTCTGCACTGTATTTGAAAGTCGTCTTTCTAGAAAACTATAATATCAATGTTTGGGGAGGAAAGGTTTATGTCCGTCGCTCATTGTTTAAGTGAAGGGCTAAAATGGTTTCTTTGCTTGCTGTAAATTCCAGGAAAATCAATCTCAACTGAATCTGTTCTCATATTTTCACTCCACTTTCTGCTTTCTTTTTTAATTATGCTTCCTTTTAAAAAGGCGATGCATTTATTTTATTGCGGTGATACCCACCATAGCTTGGAGACAATCATCTATAGAACATGGTATTTTTTAATGCAAATAACTAAAGTGAAAATATTTGTTCTCAGTCCTGACTCGAACATTAAGAACCCATACACATTTGTATTTTTCTGCTCATTGTGTTTCCTGTTTATTTCTATACTCTGTCTGCATGTCATGTCTGTTTTGAAGTATACCATGACCATGTATTGTTGAAGGGGGCTGTATTCTTCTGTATCCTCTTTCTTTTCAATGCCAAATGCTGTTATTATTTGTAATCGTGTGTTTTGTGTTTCCAACATGTATTTCATCTCATCTTCGAGGACTTATGAGGTCACATGGGCTTATGTAAAGAGCCTGCCTGTGATCCTGAAAACTGATCATAATAATCGATGCTAAATGAATGATCATAATCACTATTCCCCCACATTAGGTGTTTGGGACCTCGACACAGTGCTGTATGGTGTTCCTGTGTTCACTCAATACAGTGTAAATAAACTTTAAACAGTTTCGATCACAAGTTTGTTTATTTTTACATATATAATATGCAATTACATTTGTACATACTATATGTAAATGTACTAACTACAGAAGACAGTGCTGCTGCAATGAGAGACAATTACTGAAAGGCATAACTGTAATGTGTATTTGTAAAGCGCTTTGACAGTCATTGATAAAGCGCTATAATAAATATAAGGATTATTATAACAGTAGAAAAAGTGCTGACTAAAAATTATCAAGAATATTGTATGATTGTCAAAGCTCTAGTCTATACTTTAAACAATTTTCAATCTTTCTGCACCAGTTGTACTATTTAAATGCTTTTCTATTATCTTGAGTTTCATCAGAGCATGTTGCAGTTTTATTTTACAAGGGTTTGTTTTAGAGCTTAATAAATCTTAGTAGGGCGATGTGGTCTTCCCTCCAGAGGGAGTTTCTCTCCCAAACACTCCCCCCCCCCTACCAGTGTCACCCACTGTCTCTGCCACCTCCCCCCATGCCTGGCTCCTCCGGTTTGTATCCATGTATGTAAAGAGGGACTGGTCATATAGTACCGCCACGATCTTTTTCTCCTCCATTTTTTTACATATGGGAAATAACTGCGGCCTGGCTCTCCCAACATACACGCGGTTTGATTGGCTAGCGCTTGTAATGTCAGATTTGCATACGCGGGATTTGATTGGCTGACGCCTCCGTCGAGGCGGCAAAAGTAGAACATTGCTCTACTTTTGCAGCGAGCACCGCGAGAGAAGCTACGCTTTGCTCCCACAATGCAGTTCGGCGAATCGTGACGTCACCCCATTCAAAGTGAATGGGCAGAAGCGTTGAAGCGGCAACGCACGCCGCCGTGTGTAGGCTCCGTGAGAGCGAGGCGCGGCGAGGCGGCGCAGTTCCTCTCCACGGGCGGCGGAAGCGAAATGCTTGATGGGAAACGTCTCGCTGGTATCTCGAGCTGAGCGCTCATTGGTGGTTTTTACCACGTGCTGCTGATGAAACTCTCCAATTGGCTCGGCAAAAGTTTGTTGTTGTTTTGTGTCAGTTTTACGTCGCCACATCCATTCCCATTTTTCATCATTGTTCCAATGTTTATCATCATGAAATTAATATCTATATATTTTATACTATACTTGCACTGCTTACCGTTTTCATACTTTATATATCTTAGCATATTCATACACACTGTTCATACTGCTCACAGGCTGATATCTAGTGTATTCATACTCCTCACTGTTTATTCATCATTCAATTCATTCTATATGTTATTCTGTAGATTGTGTACATTACTTTTCACTTTACTGCTTGTTGCACTCCTGGTTAGAAGCTAAACTGCATTTCGTTGTCTCAGTACCTGTAATATGTGCAATAACAATAAAGTTGAATCTAATCTTGAGCAGGAACAAATGTATTTACTTAGTACATATCTGACATTAACGATTAAACACATGTGTGCATTCTTTATAAATGCAAACCGAGTCAAGCCGACTCCGGAGGTGGCGGTATGCACCTTAAAGTTGTTTGCAATCCGCCAAAAAACGGAAAGAAGAAGAAGACTAAACTGACTCCGAGCTGTCCGACTTCAGGCGAGCTTTTTGAGACCTCCCCCGGCTGCGATCGGCTATTCTCGTCTACTTTCGAGGCGAGCCGCAACACGTCTCAAACAAGCCTAATGTGATCACTATGTAACACTCGCAATTCTATTGGATAGCGCTCCAACACATTGTATGTGATAGGCGAAGAGGCGGGACATCTCTAAGCAGTTGACCAATCACAACAGAGCCGGCAAGCTAACCAATCAGAGCAGACAGGGCTCTGGTTTCAGACAGAAGGTGAAAAGAGGTGCTGCAGAGCTTTTTCAACATTTAAGCATGGTACATGTCACAGTAGAGGCACAAAATAGTCATATGAACCTGCAAATGAACACAATAGGATGTCTTTAAAGTTGAGCCACCCCATACCTTCCATACAGTCACTTAAATAGGGGAATGCTTTTTTGCACTAAGAGGAAACACATGGAACTATTAATAACTAGAAATGCACCCAGAGCACAGCCCTCTCAAAATGTAATAAATAAATAAAATAATTTGTGTAAATGCCCATGTGATTTGGATCACTTAGCTTAGCTTTAAAATATAACGCTTTCCATCATAGCGCATGCTACACACTTCCACCATCTATCGTGAACATCCGTTTTTAACAGCTTCATGTGCTTTGGTACACAGCAGAATGAGGCTACGTGCTTACAAGCAGCAGTCTAGGTTAAACCCATGAGGTTGAATCTGAGGATAATCAGGAAGCAGGTCCTTCTATCCCTCACAACCCCATGATGGTCAAGTCTGCATGACTCAGTGCGGTGGGGGTCAGGTGATGCAGGTCAGGAATAGAAGTTCTCAGCCAACTTCCTCATTCTTTTATTGCAACGTTTGATTTCGGGTGCTGGTTGGGCGGGAATGCTGCGATCTTCATCGTTTAGATCTCTAAACCTAACGTTGTCCTCCTCTAAATCATCTATGGACAGATCTACCACATCTTCAGAAGGTATTTCACATATCATTAATCGTTGTTCATCAACCGGGGGCCCTTTAGTGTCATCCCCTTTCAACTCCTCTTTAGACAGGTTTGGATGGTAGCACCGATAATAAATCATTTTAAAAACGAGACCAAGGATATAGACTGCAACAACAGTGACCGCAGCGATTACAGCATGCAGTTGAACTTCAAACAATGGTGTATCCGTGATCATCTTCCAGCACCACAAACTGCAGAGGACGGAAATGTCCACCAGTATGTACCCGTGGTAGACCATAGTCTTGTACCTCGTCCTCCCTTTCAACGCGTTAAACCAGTCGAAATACCAAATAAGGGCCACGGTGGCTCGGTAAAGCCACTCTCCGCAGGGGCTACTCATGAAGTCGGTCTTGGACCGCCAGAGGAAGAAGAACAGAACTAGCCAGGAACACAGGAAGTGGGTGAAGATGAAGCAGGGCAGCACGGAAGCGAAGAGGGCGAGGGCAGTGAGGCGAGAGGAGATGAGGAGCAGGTTCCACAGGAAGTACACCACCGATGAGATCAACTGCTGCTTCTCCTTGTCGGGCAGGAAGGAGCGCATGGAGCGATGGTACATGGTCACACTGAGGGCAATGGCTGACATTGAACCGACCGCCTTCAACACTGGAAGGAAAGAAGTTCATCATCAGAAATGCTTAAACTGACTGTTAATCAACATGTCTACTCTGGATAAAGAATAGAAAGTACTACCATATAAAGCTGGGATGGGCAGTTTAGTTTTGGGAATAGGGAAATAGGGAATGGAGGACCTTTGGAGGATACTAGCAAATGCAACCCTCTGACTTAAGCTATACGGCTAGCAATATAGTGCAACTTTTTCACTTTAAACCTTTCAAATATGGCTGGCAGGCCCTGTTGTGTCATTCGCTTTCACAGCAAACAACAGACCAAAAACAGCTATAGCTACAATTTACTATTTTCCAACATGGAAACTCTACGAGGGAGGCGTAGCAAAGAGGAGCAAGAGCTGCTAAATGTGTTAGCTGGCAGCCATGAGCTGACTGTTCACTGCAGGTGTCCAAAAGGATTGCTGAACTCCAGTTACAAAACCATCGCACAGGCAGGGGCGGATCTAGAAAAATATTCATGGGGTGGCAAGAGGGTGACAGGAGAATTTCAGGGGTGGCATCCCTGGCAGAAGTATATGCTGATTTAATCGCAGTGAAATCAATCAATGTTAACTTGGAAAGCCACAATATTGATATTTTAACTCAATAACATTAGGTGACATTATTGTGGCACATCAGTAAAGCCTTAAATATAAATATATAAGGTGGCAGACATCATTTAATGAATTTTAACTGAATGAGTTGGTTTCACTCTTAGACCAGCAGGGGTACCAATCCCTGCAATGCTGCAATAAGTACATTAATTAACTGTCTCATCGATGTTTGTCTGTATGAATATGATAATATTAACAATCATATTATTCCTATCAGCTGTCAATCACTGTTGTTATGATTCACATATTGATTTATTATTAAATAAACTATATATTTTGAAGGAGATAATGATGAATGCTCCTCAAGATGCTTGCTCACCCTGCTTCACATTTGAAAGACAAGTAATTACTATCATAAATCAAAATAATCAAAAGAACCGTTCAGCGCCCCACAACTTCATTGCAAACAGTTACAACCTGGACTTTACATCAGACAGAACACACATTAAAGAAGTGACTAACTGCATCAATTAGGGTTAAAAAAACGTGTATTTAGCTAAAACATATACATCGCTGCAGTTATTATCCAGTGTAAAGTCCTTACCTACTGGCCTAGTTAAATCAAAGTGGTTACTTTTTTTTGGCTGGGCAGTGTAGTTTTACACATCGTCTTATTTTTATCTCCCCCACAAAGAACAAATATTATACACGTAAGGTCATCATCTTAACAGTTTATTATTCTCATCGACTCATCCGTGAGCAGAGCATCAAGTTGGCATGCCTATAACAGCTGAATGTGGCGATTACCATCTTGATCAGCAAAACGCCTCCCAAACTTATTAAGATTTAAAGCTTTAGTGCGTTTTGATTCAATGCTGAGTACAGCCAAACTTGACAGGCTCTTCTCTGTCATTGTAGACCGCAAACAGTTGCGGCTCCAGAGTATTTGTGTTGGGTAATCTATGGTAGGGCTAACCCATACAGTGGTGGGGCTCAAGTCAGTATTTGCAATGTAATTACATACACGCCCTCCTTGACAGTGAAACGCCACGCGTGAGGTTTAGATTATTTCCCTGTCTCAATCCAAATTGAACTGTATGAAATAAAAAGGCACATTTGTCTTGTAGTGACCTGGAGCCAATCCTGCAATTTCCCTACAAGTGAAAGAGTTGACATGCTGAAAACCCAACCCCTGCAGGGGGGTCTGGGGGGATTCTCCCCCAGGAGATTTTTTTAAATACTAACATAAAATACACATTCTGGTACTCTCTTGAGAAGAAAATAAATAAATCTATTACTACACGACATATTTAAAAAAATGAATGGTATTTAATTTTTTGTTACTTTGTTCTGAGAGCTGAACCTGCTGCTCCTCACAGAGAGAAGAGGGAAGAGGCTGTGAATGACTTTACATTGTAGATAAGGGTGGATAGCCCCCATTGTTCTGTGTGTCAAGATGAAAGACAGCCCACGTGCACCTATCAATCATCAAACCGTGGGGTCTTATTTCATTACGTGTTGATTTCTATCAACACGTAATGTTGTATCGATGTATCGGGACTTCCTGCAACAACACCACGCCGTTATCGTGATTCTGATTGGCCAGAAGACATTATCAAAGATGTTCTATTGAGAAGACGATCACTACGTGACAAAAGTTTTCAAAACCGTTTCTAGTCTTCGGTATTCCCAGACAAGTGGCTACTGAAATAAATCTTACTAACTGCTGTCTGTGCAATTTACTCCGCGCGATTTGGCGGAATTTATTTTGCTTACCTTAACATCATTTTTCATGGTGGTGCTAAGCCATTTCTTGGTATGGCTGTCGCCTACCCCGGCCATACCCTGGCGCCACCACTGACCGCAAATACCTCATTCCTTCCGTCTACTTGGATCCGAAATGCTTCTCGTTTTGCGCTGTCCCCCGTTCAAATGAAATCGCCGCCAATCATATTTCCACGCTCGTTCCAGGGCCGGGGGAGGGGTTACAAGGCTCGCGTATTGTGCTGCATTCACTTGCACTCGGACATTAGAGATTTTCTCTCATAAATGTCCGATGAGCCACAACTTTTTTTTCAAAACAAAGCTGCCAACTGGGGTGGCAGCTGGGGTGGCAAGGCTTTTTTCTGAGGTGGCAGCTGCCACCCCGTGCCACCCTGTAGAACCGCCACTGCGCACAGGTAATATGATTTACAACAGAAAAGCTCACAGTATACATACATTTAAGTAGCCTACATTACATTAGCATCCAGTTAGCATAACATTAGCTATCTTACTGGATAATTGTATAGTTAGTGCGAATGCTGTGCAACTATAGTTCTTCAAATCTTCTTATTCCAACCAATATGTTTGCCGTCCGATAACTTCAGCATACTTTCAGCTACAGAAACCATTCAAAAAATATTCAGCCTTTTCAGCACATGATGGGAAACTTTCAACTTTTTCAAAATATTTCATACTTTTTGAAATATTCAGCTTTTTAAACTCTTTTTTTAACATTGAAGACAATGGGAGGAACCTTCAAATCCTCTTTTACCTACATATTGCGCCAAATGCTTCTCCTTCCACATACTTTCAGCTAGAGACTTCATTCCAACTTTAAAATGATCACAATACCTTCAGCTATAACAACTTGTTCTTTGGAATTTTCATATATGTTATACTTTTTGAGATATTTAACTTAGTTTGGAGCTTGGTAAAGAGGCATTCTTCAGATTTTAACATTAGTGTGTATTCAAACTTCACATGTGTGCTAACAGTCCAGCCGTGAAGACATCTACGTGACAGTTTTGAGATTTATTCAAATGTCGTTGCCATGGCAACACAATGCTCACCATGAAACACGGTTTTCTCAGAATTCAGGGGAAATGCTCCAAACGGCCCAAAACTTCACAGGTTTGGTAACGATGCAGCCATCAACACATCTAAGCGTATTATGGGGTTTCATCAAATGCCGTTACCATGGCGACAGTTAAAATATTCTGATGCTTTTCAAAGCCTTTTTACTTTATTTTCTTCTCTTATCACACATTCATTCACTACTACATACATCTGCGTACTTTATATATTATGATTGGAAAACAGTCAAAGTGTTTTTGGTAGATGCCTGAAGATCTGTGGTTAACTCAAGCTTAACAGATTTTGACGTTTTGTTCTACGGAATAAAAAACGTCAGAAAATACCACACTTGTGAATGTCTAAAACTTCTATGTGTCGTAAAAATGGCGGTTGCAAACAAGTCACTAAATTAGACTACTCAACATCATCATGCCAAGTGCCAACATTAGCTGTCTTTAGCTAGTGCTGGCGATGCGCAGCCATGCTACGATGTAATTTGTTTATAGCCTAATGTTAGCTTTTTACTTCTGGTGATTGCATTTACAGTTTAAAAAGTATAAAAGTGATGTTGATATGTGGAGATTAACCTGCTGAACAATACGTGAAAATATCACAAACAGATCTTATTTTCTTAAAAATTCAAGGGGGAAATTCCAGTGCTCTTCATCATGAGACCCTTGCGATGCTAACTTGCGATGCTAACTACCAGGTGGTCCTACAAATATACATCATCACTGCACCACTCTATGTGTGTGTAATGAATAACAGTTGATTTAATTCAAATCCTCCATTACCACTACAATCATACAAATCATATTTTGTAAGCAGGAAAGATATTTTGGATGTAAAATATGAATCTGAATTATAGCTGTGTAGGCTATAGTGTCAAAGTTGACATGTTTCTCAAAAATGTAGTTGATAAGAAAGGAATTATTAATTTATGTGAAAAACATTGTTCTTAGTTATGTTCCACCACTGAATTTGGTTGAACTGACCCTTTGAAGAGAGGAGGTTTTCAGTTTGGAGTGTCAAAATATTAAATACATTTGCATTTTTACTTCATAAATCTTGAGCCTAACACTGGGCACCTGTGATAGGGTCGAGTTGCCCTTGCAACATGATGGTGATCATGAGGACGAGTTGAGGCGCGCTCTCTGAAAACGTCTCTATGAGCCGAAGCATGCTCAGGTCATGGATCATGTACACTGCGAAGCCCTCTGAATCCTTGACCTGTGAGTATGCACTGCATAAAGACATCTCCACCACACCTGCATGCCTGAGAAGATAAGAGTGTGGGATTTAGAATACAGTTTTAAACCATTGTTCTGACAACATGTTAAACTCAATTACCGGTTATATTTCAGTCATCATTTATCAGCATTAAATTATGAACACTTACTATGCTCTTTTTCAGATTTCAAAACTGCATTTAGTGTTTCTACTGGGACATGTCTCCATGCTTTAATGTTCAGAAAGCTCTATTTGTCTCATACTGCCTGTGCTGCAGCACCTATTTTCATCCTCTGTCTGAAACCAGAGCTTAGACTCTGTTTTGATTGGTTAACCGCTAGAGATGTTCCTTCCTCTGGCCTATCATGTGCAATGTGTTGGATATCTAGCCAATAGAAGTGAGTGTTACATAGTGATGTCACTATGTTACCGAAGTAAGCAAGGACTAAAATCGAGGCGTTCAGGCAGGGGGGAGTGTGTGTGAGAGAAACTCCCTCTGGAGGGAACACAGGGATTGTATCCTTTGCAGACCATTTACATGCACTAAAACCTATATAACACACTACAGGAAATGGAAACACCTTAAAGTTGTTCTTAAAAGTAGTACTCTTTTAAGACATAACTTTTGACTTCTTTGTTGGTGTTTGGAACAAGGTGTTCCAAAATAAAAGAGCACTTTGTTGCAATTGTTTAACAAAGTGCTCTAAACAAAGTGCTGTATTAGCTACTGTACACAAGGACACCTGAACTACTCATGTTTGTAATATTCCATGAGTAATATTCAGAGGTAATCAAGCAATGTTATTGATTGAGTAAATCATAGCAGGAGAATATTTGATACTCCAATTATGTCCTTCTGTGTGTATATAAATAACACATTGTTCACACCACCCTAGCCTAGGTAGGAAGTGGGTTAAAGTGCAGTACTGTTGTTCCAATCAAGTATATAACCAGCACTGCATTTCCTGGAAATGGAATCTTTACCAATGAATAGGCGAGGTTGGAGATGTCAGTTAGAGATATTCAAACAGAAACCACTTCCTTCCCAGTCTTCAGATTCTTTACTAATACCAGACTGTAGAAATACTCAAATTTCAAGTAAAAGTACTGCATCAAGAATGGTACTCAAGTAGACCAATTTAAGTACAATAAGGAAAATATACATAAAGTATCAGGAGTAAAAGTACCCAATGCAGTACAAACTAAAATGTTATATTGTATATTGTAAAGCAAAAGCAGCAAATATTCACATTTAAGAAGCTGGAACTGTGAAATATTTTTGAACAAAAAACTTCTTGCCAAACTAATTTCTGTTAACCCACTCATGGTTTTAGTTACTGAAATGACATATATAAAGTGAGTTCCCTGCATTCACACCCAACTTATCACACTTACAGCAACAGAAGCAAATAGAACTGAGGCACTTTAAAACACACACCAGTACATGTATACAAGTGTTACACAACCTGAAGTAGATTCCCAGCTGGAGTACATGGAGTAGTTTCATGTGGCTGCGGCTCAGGCACTTCTCCACCTTTGTCTGGTTCATGGACTTCTCCTCCTGATCCCTCTCAGATTCCTCGTACCTGTACCACAGCCAGCTGAACGCCTGGACCAGCAGGGAGGAGCCCACCAGCAGCAGGATCAGGACGGAGAGGCTCACATAAGACTTTTCCTGGTAGAAATTCACCACGGCCAATACATCCAGCACTATGTCCACCACTAAGAACACCAGGCCCAAAAACATGAGGGAGATGTCCAGGGGGGAGAACTTGAACTTACCCATAGTGTCTGAAAACTAAAGATCACAAAACTAGAGTGGCTGCATACTTTAGGACAGCTGTTTGACAACTGAAAGTAAAGAGCAACGGTTCAATGTTCAAACGCCCTGTGACCCCTCCCACAGGACAAGCCCTCCTCGGATTACATAATACCATGTTAAAGGCATACTGTAGTTATTTAAGCATGAAAATCAGCTCACAGTGAAAGCTAGCACTAATCAGATCTAAAGTACTCCTATGTGTCTGTTACATTACTGTTAAAAGAATACAAATAGATATTAATACAATTATATTAGGGTTATTAATAATGATTTTTTTTTAAATCCAACCCCATTTGAAGGTGTCTTTTATTAAATGAAATATGAGTCTCTTAAAATTGTAAATAAGAAATAACAATTGTTTATAGCTTTATTAATTGAAATGGTATGGCTGTTTTTTGACATTCTTAAAAAGACATTTTCAAAAAACATCTTCAAATTAGTAAGAAATTAGGGAATGCTTGTTTTTCTAATCTGTCACCAAAACGAATCTTGTTATTAATAGAAATTATAATAGCTTTTGAGGTAGCTAATGTCCTATCTTTAACAATGGCAATAGTATAGGTGATTTAACAAACAGGAAACGCATGTCAATAAATAACAATTATTTTAAAAGTCTGTCACCAAAATGATTATTTTTTAATTCCCTTCTGATGTAGCTATTTGGTGCCATTTTCATTCATTGGAATGTTACGGCTAATTGTTTTTTTACATTCTTACTAAAGAAACGTCAAGCAAACGAAAAACAGATAGTACAACATTGTTACCACTTTAATAATTGCACATGGCAAATGAGGTAAAACATTAACGACCAGTTCAGACCTTGACTTTTGGTTTGTTTTTGTAGGATCTGCAACATGAAGTATGAACATTACAGAAACTTACTGAAAAGAGCATGTGTGTAAAACAAATCCACACTCAGGACCCCGAGAACACTTCAATAGAACACAAACAAGGATACTGACATTAGGCACAAGTGACATTTAAATAAGCTAAACAAACACTGGATGAGTTAACGTAACACTAACATGATGTCACCTGTACTTCAATATGCACTAACAACTCTTCTTCGTGACATGTGAAGGATTAACACTTATTTTACACTTTTAGTATAAACTTCGCCTAACCTGTAGTTCGCACAGCCCCTCGAGATCTTCTCGCTCTCTATGACGAGAGAGACTGAGAGAGAGATGAGAGATAGAGAGCGAGAAGAGTCAGAGAGAGACGGAGCATGAGAGAGATCTTATGAATGCGAGTAGAGCAGCAGAGAGTAAGAGAGAGAGCAGAGAGAGAGAGAGTAGAAGAGAGAGAGAGAATGAGGAGCAGAGAGAGAGAGAGAGGACGAGAGAGTATGAGAGAGAGAGTAGAGAGGATGAGAGAGAGAGTAGAGCAGGAGCAGCGAGAGAGAGAGCAGAGAGAGAGAGAGAGAGAGAGTAGACGAGCATAGAGCGAGAGAGCGAGAGCGAGAGAGAGAGAGAGCGAGAGCGCGAGAGAGGCGAAGTGCGGCGAGAGCGATGAGCGAGGCGCGAGCGAGAGCTCGAGCGCGCGCGCGCGCGCTCGACGCGCGTCCTCGCGCGCGCACACGACACACACACAAGCGCGCACACACACCACACGCGCGCTCACCACACACACGCTCTCGCACACACCACCACGCCGGCGTCACACACACACGGCTCGCACACACACACACCACACTACACACACACCACACACACACACACACACACACACACACCCACACTACCAACCACACACACACACACACACACCACACACACACACACACACACACACCACACACACACACACACCACCACACACACCCACCAACACACACACACACACACCCACACACACACACCACAATTATATAGCTGTTCTGGGCTTTCAGAAATCTTATCATTGTTTTTAAACGTTTATATTTTGTTACAAATAAAAATAGAAACCGTTTGTAAAAAAAAAATAGAACAAATGAAATGTTCCTAAGATGTATTGTGGAAATACAGGGTAGTAAAGGCATATAACAAGTCCGTCCCAGTAACATGTACACCAATTTCCTCAATGTTGTAAATATTAACAATCCAATCTATCAAATAAAAAGAAGCCTTCACTTTTAGAAGTTACCTAATAAAATGACCCCCAGTTTCAAGTACAGTTGAGAAATATGACCATGAGATTATAACACTCAGAGTTAATACTGTGGTCAATTCTAGAGCGTGTTTATCACACTGTGGCAAGGTTGCACATCACTGAGAAGGGCTTGGCAACAGTTGTTTTATATGGTATTTGCATCAATGTGATGAAGTATCTGGATTAGTACAAATAAATAAAAATGGCTATATCGCATTATATATTCTGATGAATGTACTGATATGAAAAGGATAGAGTGCTGCAGGAATAAGTCTTCAAAAACAGGAATGAGTCAGCATTTCCGTACCATGTACCCCTCGTGGTGTTGCTTATGGATTTTGAATTAGTTTAAGGTTAGTTTAGAGGAAATAAGCTTGATAGCTTTTGATGTTTTGTTCATAAAAGACGTCTTCGTAACAAAGCCAGTTTAACAAAGCGCCCCAAAATATCAGATCAGGTTATCTACTGTACACGGGGAAACCAGGTCTACTCATATCTGAGTCGCACATTATAAAAGGCTACTGTTCAACTAAATCCCTTTATATGTAAATAGAAATGTTTTCATGTTGCTGCTGTCAGAGACATTCGAGAGTAATGAGGTCATTCAAACAAAAATAATTGATCATTTGGAATGGAGGACTTTTCAATGGCATCAGTAGTTTATAGGGTTTTTGCATCAATGTGATGAAATATCTGGGTTACTAAAAAAGGTATTTAAAAAAAAATAGGTGTGTGCTAACAAGATGCTAATTAAGGCGTCAGACATTTTAAGGGACACTTGAACGTCATTATGTGATCACAGTCGTGGTGATGCTGAAGTCATGTGACTGTAGTGTAGTTGGTTTGAAGCTTTTTACAACGTTTATAATGTTAGCATTTACGCTTAAATGCTTGAAGACGAGATAATTTTTACGGAGAATATCTTGCTGGGAAAATGAGTTGGCATGATAAACTTGTTTGCCACATAGCAAACATAGCCGTTGGCCCTTGCAGAATGATGGCCTCCAAAATACTTAATCCCTGCAGCACTCTATTGCTTACTCCTAGTTTCAAGTATTGTAATTGATCTAGTATTTTCAAATTATTCTGAGCACCTGGTGAGATTACAGCACAAATAGAAAACAGTAGATTATTACTTCCTATCACTACACCATCAGTTCACAGATGGCTGTGACAAACAAAAAGTCCGATATCACAGAGGTGATGGCTCAGCTCTTTTAGGGCTATCAGGGTTTTTAACAGCTCCTTTCTCGGAGTAAAAATGAGCTGCATGGCAGGCCATCCGTTTGTTGTGTAGTTTGGAGGACAGGGCACCGTCCTGGATGGAAAATTCTTTCAAGGGCACTTCTGCATCAGGCAGATCATCAGGCAGCCCTGGCTCCCTCACCAGGGGCCTCCACAGCTTGGGGTGGAAGCAGCAGTAGTAGAGGGTCTTCAGGAGCAGTCCCAGGAGGTAGATGAAAGGCAAAGCGATGAGCAGAGCCAGGGCGTACGACTCCGTCTGGACAGGGTCTCTGTAACACCACCAGGTGGCCAGCAGGATGCCTCCGTCAGCGGTGATGAAGGTGTGGTAGATGATGCTCCTGCCTCTGGTGCGTCCCTCTGCCACGCTGAACCAGCTGAAGTACCAGATGAGCCCCACGGTGGAGCGGTACAGCCACTCCCCAGCCGGGCTGTCCATAAAGTGGGTCTCCTGCTGCCAGGCCCAGCTCACGAAAACGAACCACTGCATCAGGAAGTGAGCGCCGATGTACCCCGACAGGACCGAGGCGAAGAGGGCGAGGGCCGCCACACGTGGGGCGATTAGCAGCAGGTTCCACAGGAAGTAGATTAAAGAGGAGCACCAGCCCTGCTTGGCCTTGTCTGGGAGGAAGGAGCGCAGCGAGCGGTGGTAATCCACCACCATCCAGGCGATGGAGGTGGTGGAGGCAGCAATGCTCACAACTGCAAAAAGAAGAAGGTAAAACAATCAGTGGAACAGCCAAGAGGAAGTTAACTCATATGTTTGTTGTTTGTTGACCTGCCACAACACAGATAGTGTGTTTTATGAGCGTAACTGTATCACTTTATTTGATATCACAGAAAAGGAAAGAAATTGACACAATCCATTACCCTAACCGAGGGGTGCCCAACCAGTCGATCGCGGGGAGATTCCCAGTCGATCGCGAGATGTGTCTAAAAATAGAACAACAATATTCTGTTTTATCGTTAATGTCCTATAACATAATCTTCCTGTGCCAGAATAATGCACTTGAATGCATCAAAGCTTTGTGATTGGCCGGCGTGACCCCATGTGTCGGGGCGTGGCTGGTGGGCAGTGGGCACTATTTCGCTGACGTTGTCCGTGTCAACAGGAGTGACAGTCCGCACACACACAAGACCGCATTTATGGCAGAAGCAAAAAAGCCCAAAATATATAATTCTCAATCCGAGTGGGAGGATGATTATTTTTGTATCTATTCCAATTTAAAGTCCATCTGTCTCATCTGCAATGCGAGCGTGGCTTTATCGAAGAAGGGTAATTTAGGAGCGACATTTCAAAACAGTGCACAAACGCTACGAGACGGAATTCCCTCCTAATTCTGCCCTATGCTCCCAAAAGGGGAGGGGCCTGAAAGGACAGCTAAATGCACAGCAGTCCATTTTCACTAGGCCCAACAACAAGAGCAAGGCTGCTACCAGAGCATCTTATCGTCACGTTCTTGCGAAACACATGAAGTCTTTCAAAGACGGCGAAGTTGTGAAAGAAGCATTCCTGGAGGCTGCCGACGCGCTTTTGGGGAACAGTAAAAATAACAGTAGCATTTCAACAGGTTTTTGATATAATAAAAACTCAAGTTAGATACCGTTATTAATCAGCTGTAAGTTTTAGTTTGTTTGAACTTATTCATTATAATTATTGTTTACAAAATGCAAACATTAAGATCCGTTCCGTTTAAATTGATTATAGTCAATTATCAATTCAGGTTAAGAAACTAGTGTTGCTTGCATCCTATTTTAAACGCATTTCTTTTTATAATCTACTAAAAATGCAACAAAAAAAGGGTTTGATTCTATTAATTTTGTCTTTTTTATTGCACTTTGGCAGCAGATTCCTGTGCAGCTTCAGATCTGAGTTGTCTTATTAGTTAGCCTAATTTATACTTTTGGAGCAACACTATTTTTATATAATGGCCAAGAAAGGGTTCAGTCTTTTCTTTTTTTCCTGTGTCATATGTGGCAGCACTGTTCAATGTTTCTTGAAAACATGTAGTATGTGACGTGTGAATAAACTCCAACTCTGTATTAATAACACTGTTGTGTAACTTCACAAAACTAGGGCCACCAGGGTGGGTGGAGGGGGTCCGGAGGACGGGTTTGGGCTGACAAACCCAGGAGCACAGCGGAGGACCCGGAAGGGATCTCGGGCGGACGGCCCGGGGGCAAGGCAGAGACCATGGAGGGGGTCTCGGGCGGACGGCCCGGGGGCAAGGAGACCGCGGCTCTCAGGGGGCCGGGCTCGGGGCGAAGACCGTGGCACATCCGGGGGCCGGTCTCGAAGGAGGAAGACCGCGGCTCTCAGGGGGCCGGGCTCCGAGAGCGAAGCAGGCCGGCGATTGGAACAACCTCCGGAGGACGGGGCAGGACCCCGGTTGTCGGCCGGACAGGAAACCGGAGCCGGTGGGGACAGGCTTCGGGAGGATCCCCCACGGAAGAGGACTAGGAGTTGGCAGGACCCCCGGCGAGGGACAGGTGACGGTCGGGACCTCCAACGGAACAAGACATGGAGTTGGCAGGACCCCCGGCAGAAGAGCAGTCGGCGGGACCCCCCAACGGGACAGGGACATAGGGTTGGCAGGACCCCCGGCAGCAGAGAGTAGTCGGCAGGGCCTCCAACGGCACAGGGACACAGGGTTGGCAGGACCCCCGGCAGATAAAGCATCGGCGGGACCCCCCAACGGGACAGGACCAGAGGGCTGGCAGGACCCCCCGGCAGGAGGAGCAGTCGGCGGGAACCCCAGCGGAACTTTATTTATCCAGGTAAAATCCCATTGAGATCAATGATCTCTTTTTCAAGGGAGACCTGCAGCAGTAGGTTCCACAATAGGGTTGGCAGGACCCCAGGCAGGAGAGCAGTCGGCGGGACCCCCAACGGGACAGGACATGGAGCTGGCAGGACCCCCAGCGGAACTTCCAACGGCACACGACATAGGGTTGGCAGAACCCCCGGCAGAAGAATCGTCGGCGGGGCCTCCAACGGCACAGAACATAGGATTGGCAGGACCCCCGGCAGAAGAGTAGTCGGCGGGGCCTCCAACGGCACGGCCTCCAACGGCACAGGACATGGAGTAGGGACTTGAGAGGGGACTCGAGAGGTGACTTGAAAGGGGACTTGAGAGGAGACTCGAGAGGGAACTCGAGAGGAGACTTGAGAGGTGACTTGAGAGGGGACTCGAGAGGGAACTCGAGCGGGGACTCGAGAGGGGACTAGAAAATGGACTAGAGAAGGGACTAAAGAAGGGACTTGGGAAGGGACTAGAGGAGGGACTGGAGAGGGAACTAGAGAGAGGACTAGAGGAGGGACTAGGGAAGTGACTAGAGGAGGGACTTTAGAAGGGACTTGAGAAGGGACTATGGAAGGGACTAGAGTAGGGACTACAGGAGGGACTAGAGAGGGGACTTGAGAGGGGACTTGAGAGGGGACTTGAGAAGGGACTAGGGAAGGGACTAGGGGAGGGACTTGAGAAGGGAATTGAGTAGGGACTAGAGGAGGGACCATGGCTGCTGGGGCCGGAACCAGGGCCGGAACCATGGCTGCTGGGGCTGGAATCCTGACCTTGCGTTTCTTTCTATGCTGCCTTGAAGCCATTAGGAGGCTCAGAGGTCCTCCAAAGGCCAGACGAGACCCAGCAAAAGGGTCCTTGAAAGGAGCCTTGTTGGGAACTGTGGCCGGCAGGGGGCTAGCATGCCAGGGGCTAGCAGGCCGGGAAACAGGTTTGACCTCAAAGCTACCGAAAAAGTCCTCCACCCACTCGGGTAGTAACTCCTTTAACCAGGGCCTTGGGGTTACTTCTTGGCGTGCCGTTGAGATAATTGACTGCCTCTCTTCACTACTGGAGGCATATCGACCGTAGTTTTTAAAAGCACATTAAATTCTGTCAGTCTGCTGGGTCCATCCTTTGGTTGGTTGGTTCTGTTACGGGTGAGCGAAGCAAGCAGGACCCAAATGCAGATAACACTGAAAATACCTTTATTTCAAGGATACACTGACAAACAGAACACTCCCCGGTGAACACAGTCACAGACAAACGACGAACCAACAATGACAGACAGAAAAAGAGAACTTAAATACACACAGGACTAATCAAGGAAACAAGAGACAGGTGAGGAGGGAGGAGAAAACACAGGGGCACCAGGTGAACACAATCAAGAAAACAGGTAGGAGGGAACACACACAGACAGGAAACCAAAGACAGATCTAAACAAGACAAAACACAATGCAGACAGAAAACCAAAGACAGATCTAGACAAGACAAAACACAACACAGACAGATCGTGACAACAGCTTTCATGCTTAAAACATAACTTGGTTTTTAATTAAAGAGGGATCATATACGAACAATTATAACGGGTTAGGGCAGTGGTTCTCAAACTTTTCTGTCAGGCCCCCCCTTTGGAGAAAAAAAAAAGTCGGGCCCCCCCAACACAAATAGTCAGGCTCAGTAGCTCAGGTAGCTTGACGTTTCATAGAGGGTGCTCAAACATTTAGGGTTCCCATTAATGTACCGGTCGCTACAGTGGAATTTTCTACTGCAACATTCCCCACGCATATACACAGTGTACCCGCGACTGTTACAATGAAGGCTCGATAATCAGCTTAGCAGGGGTAAAGTGCTATTTTATAGGTGGTGTGTGACCTTCACATAGGGGGGTCCGGGGCAAGCTCCCCCGGGAAGATTTCATTTTTAAATATTGAAGTTAAATGCATCAATCTGGTGCACTTTGAGAGCAAATGAAGAGATCTATGGATACATCTCTCAACACGTAATAATACTGTACTGCATCATATTATTTTCGAATCAATCATTTTTAAAATTATGTTTTTGTTTTTTTTTGTTTTTTTTTTTTAAACCATTTTTCCTCCTGGTCTCTCGCGCCCCCCTGGCATACCTCTGCGCCCCCCTGGGGGGGCGCGCCCCCCACTTTGAGAACCACTGGGTTAGGGTGACGTAACCCTATTACAACAGAGATCAACAACCTATAACAGGGCCTATCTACAGAATGCAGCCTATTCAATACTATTCTTGTTTAAGAATATGAGTAGGTCTTAAATACCATCAGAATGGCAGACCAGGAATCTGGACACTGCTGGAGGCAGTGTAGTAAATATTATGGCCGATCATTTCCACATATTCTGGAACTGTCCAGTAGGGTTGGGTACCGAGAACCGGTTCCAACATTTCGATTCCAACGGCATCATTTAGAAATATGAATTTCGGTTCCGCCTTTTCGATGCCTGAGGAAATGTTTCTCGCCTGCTCTCCGTAGCCTACTGTATGACTGCGGCGGCGTGGGAAATGTAGCGTTTGTACCCAGCGAGAAATGGCGCTGTATGTATGTATGTATGTATGGCGCTATATGGCGCTGGATAGAAGAGTTGCGACAATGGAAGTCCAAATGCTTGATCGTCACGTTCTTTCTATCTATATGGCGCTGGTTGTACCTACACTTCCTACAGCGAGCAACTACCCATGTTCGCCTAGGGCGCCAGATCTGTGGAGGCGCTGCGCTGACAGCTCTGGGAGAAAAAAAAAATGTTTTGACCGTTGGGGCTCAATCCTAATTTTCGGCCTTGATGTAACAACATTCATAATTAAGTAAATGTAACACCCTTTTCATCCCGGTTACACTTTTCATTTTCCCTGTACGATGGGCGCTGTAAGTGATGAAAATGGGGGATGTTGGCTTATCTGGCGCCCGCAGCTCACAGCCAAAGTGAGAGCGTGGGAGCGAGCGAGGGAGAAAAGGAGGGTGCACCGGTACCAGCGCTGTTGTTATTAGCATCTGGTGCTAGCTGCTCTAACGGAAGAAGAAGATGTTTCTACAATGATGTGGAGGGAGAGTCCTCTCCAGTCCAGCTGATAACTACAGCTCAGTGAGGTAAAGGACTCTGAGTGTTTAGATAGTTCACTTTAGTCTAAGTTATCTCAGTGGGTCTCAAACGTTTTGATTACAATTTATGTAAACACATATTTCCAAGGCACTCCTTTATAATTATTGGGATAAAACAGGTTTGAAATAATTCCAATGTATACAATAGGACAGTAAACCAGACATATCGTTTTAAACTGGAGAGATAAAAACATATGCATAAATAAAATAGTAAAATAAGACATGAATGAACAACAAAAATAAAATACGTTACATGTATTTGTTATTGGCTATGGTAGGTTATTGCTTATGTTCACATACTTATTTAATTATTAAAATGTAAACCGATCTTTTTCATATGGGTGTTTAGAGTTGTACCCCCCTAGATCTAGTCTCTAGTAATTCTGCTTAAAGTGCACCAGATTGAAGCATTTTACTTTAAAATGTTCAAACATTTCTTCCCGGTATGCCTGAGAAGGCAGATATGCTTGTTTTTCTCAACAAGAACTGTTCTTTAAAAGTTGCACTGTTGTAGCTTCAGTGGTTCTCAGGTTACAGTTACATAGCAGTGAATATAAACAGACTGATTAATGTGAATATTACTGTAAACTAACCTGTGTAAAAGTTTCTCGAATAAATGTAATTTCTTTGGTGGAAGAAGCATGTATCATGTTTTTACCCTGCCCCTCAAAGAATCGGAATTGAGAACCGTTAAGAACCGGAATCGAAAAGTAGAATCGGAATCAGAATCGTGGAAATTCAAACGATACCCAACCCAGTGATCAAACCCTATTGGCAATCTATAATAACGGAAATAAATTCAATTCTTGGCTTTGAGATTCCAAACAGTTTTGATGGGATTTATTTAGCTAATATACCAGTGGAATTTAGTGTTCGGGACAAGAATCTTCTTAAAATATTACTGGCAGCCAGCAAAAAGGCAATTACCAAAAAATGGCTTGTGAAAGATCCACCAACAAAAGGAGAATGGATAAACATTGTAAATGACTTGTTTCGTATGGAGAGGCTGACTTTTTCTCTAAGACTCTGTAGTGAAAAATGTGACAATACTGGTCCAAATGGGTTTTGCACATGAAGAGGGGGGGGTCACATAATCCTGAGATATTTCTTTTATTTTGCTTTACTCCTTTTGGTACAATAGTCTATAATTCTTGCATAACTTTGCTACTACTGTATGTTTCACACAGATTGGTTGTGAACCCGTTGTGAGGGACATCTTCCCATACCACAAGAATAATTGCTGAGAACATATTGATGATGGATTACAGTGACATACAGTGACCTGTATGTTATTTGTTGTTTCCTTTGTAATGTCTTAACAACTTAAAAATAAAGTATCGTTCCAATTGACGGCCTTTTGTTTTAAGTTGGCGTAGTTCAGGTGTAAACCAAGGAGCAGAATGGGTTTTTAAAGGAGCCAGGGTATTGAGCAGACTATGAAGATTGTTTTTGTAATGAGAAACCAGTTCATCCGGCGGGGATGAACAATATATGCTGGGGAGGTTGTCAATGCCACTGGAGAGTGTAGTTACATTAATATCCTTGACGTTGCGGAAGGAAATAACACGGGAAAGTTATGTCTGCTAAAAAGTTGAAATAACGAGGAGCGGCAGTAATGCTTAGTCATGTTTTTAGGTTTTGCTATGTATTTCTTCCTTTTTTGAGAGTAGTGTATGTGTTTCACAATTTCAATATGATGTTTTTTACAAGGATCAGCAAAGCAAAGTGCATTCATACAAATGTATTATTAACAGCTCAGGTGATTAAGAGAGGGAAAAAGACTGTTTCGGATTGTGTCAGGAAAGACTCAAAGTTGCGTAATACCTAATAGAAACACCATCCTCTATTGTAGAAGTTTGCTTCTGCTGTGAGTTTAAAGAAGTAACTCATACTAGAGAGAACTCACACTGTACAGTCCGGGTCTTGTTTGTTTGCAGCATGACGTAGATCATCAGAGTGAGCTGAGGAGCGCTCTCACAGAACGTCTCGATGAGTCGGAGCATGCTCAGGTCGTGGGTCAGGTAGACAGCGTACTCCGACCCCTCCGCTTTCCGCCACCAGACCCTGAAGCCTTGTCGTATGGCCGAGATGTGCCTGCGTGAATGAACATGTTTGAACAAAACTGTGAGTGACAGAAAAGACACATGGGAGAAGATGAAGACGCATAACAAACTTAGCAGTTAAGACTAATGGTGAATAGCAGCAATCTGTCATGATGCATTAAATGACTGTGCTTTTCATACCTCATTCATTCATTACTTGTGTAGTGTATGCATTGAGTTCTTTTATGAGGACACTGGATTTACCAGTTGCCACACCTGACATGTTTCATTTATGGTCACTACACATGTCCCATTTCATTACCTACTTGCCTGCATGAACTATTCTGTAGGAATGTCCAGTTGTTTAACAGGTAGAGAGAAATACTCCTACGGTAAAGGTTCCTGGGCCCAGTGTGCTTTATTGCAGTTTTGTCAGGATTAAAGAGTGCTTGCATGATTAAGGCTGGGGTGTTATACTTTGTGCAACCTGTTGTTGAAACACTTTCCACATCTTGAGAAACCAGCATTACATTTACTGTCACATTTAAACAGGAGTAGGCTGTTTGGATCCATATGAACTTATATATTTGCTATGAGGTTTAACCAACAATCAAGTAATTAGCCGCATTAGCTCTGCATTTTATATGATATAATGGGTTTAAGTAGTTTTACTCCACTATAGTTAGGAAGCTTACATCTTCCTTTTAACTAGACTGAATGGATTCAAACTAAACTTTGCATATTCAGATCTTTATTACAACATAAACCAAGTAACGTATAATGATGTAATATTATAGACGCAGTAATATAAGGTACAGTTGACCAGCCATTGTACAAGCTCCAACATTTCAAAAGATAAATTAATCAATAAATAAAAGAGATCCTGTTAGTAATGAGTAAAAACACTATTATTATTACATTAAAAACACAACATCAAGTTTCAAAACATTTTTGATGTAATAAGATAATATTTCAAGTAGGTTTCTCATTATAACAGAACACATTAGCTTTCACACTTTTTTGCATTTTCTTTAGTAACATTTTGTATTAAAGGACTTTTACTTTTAGTGGTTTATATTAAGACTACAGTAGTTTTATTTGGAATTAGAGTACTTTTCCACTACTGCACACTTGTTTTAGGCTACCTGCAAAGGAAGCCCAGCTGCAGCACATGAAACAGGCAGGAGAGCTTCACTCGGTCCCCGAACAGCACGGTTCCTCCTCCGGTCTGCACGCTGCCGAACCCCGGCAGCTTGCGGTCATACTGGAACCAGAACCAGCTGAACATTGGACCACGACCGACGACAGGACCATGAGGCCGACCAGAACCCCGAACCAGAAGATGTCCCCTCGGCAGTAAAACTCGGTGGCCACCCACACGTCCGAGCCCCAGTCCACCAGGAAGGTACACACTCCGATCACAGAGAAGGCGAAATCTATCCAAGAGTACTTTGAAAAAGTCGCGCGCTCCATGACCGTTTTTGTCAGTTAGCTAGTTGACCAACCAACAGACCAACTGTTGCTGCTTAGCTAACATTCGGCTAACGTCCTGTACCGTTATTTCCCTCCCTGAGCGACTTCACGTTCTTCAGCCCAGTGAAGAAAAAAGTTGCAAAAACTTTCATGTTGAAAATAACAGCGTAAATTCATTGAAATATCCTCTATTAAAACGTTGAAGGCATTTAAGGGAATCTAAGTGTGTTAAAAATAACTGGCACATAAGAAGAGCTGCTGGTGTTTTGTCCGTGTCGTTGTTAGCCCCGCCCACCGCGGCTCATACGTGTATCGACCAGTCTCGACATGTCGCAAAAAACCTCACCGCGTGTTAGAAAGATCCTGAAAGATTAGATGATCTATCTCGTGTCGTAACGTAGATAATATATAATGTATCACATTCTTATAATCACTATTCACTGAGGGAATGTTGTATGTTACTAGAATATAGATCATGCATACATGTGTTGGTTCCATCATTTTAAATGCAGTAGTGCACAGTAATTTAATCAGTGGAGGCCTGCAGGCAGACTCCTCTCAATTGAATGCATTAACCTATTACTTGTATTACTTAACTATGCTGGTTATTTCATTTTTTTCTGTCTCTTTATAATTCTACTCCACCACATTTTGGAAGCAAACGTTTGTACTTTTTCACTCCCATACATGTATTTGATAACTTTATACTTTGCATATTGTCATTAACCAACTCATATCATGTAAATCTACAAATAATGAATGAGGGTGGTAAGTCAAAAGTTTAACATTGGTCTTTACATATTTTGATTTATTTACTGTTTTTGCCTAGTACATTGCTGAAAAAGATTTGATTATGCAAGTAAAAACACTGTAATAAAATTAAGTTGTACATATTTGTATTGGACATACTGTTTTTCTTTTTTAAAGTACTTTGCCTATATTTCCTTTTAATATGTCAGTTGTATGCACTAAATCAGGGCACATTCCTATTTCGTTCATAACAAACTTTTCAATAACCTTATACTAATAGGAATTTCAATTAATCTCATCTCAATATTGATAGGTAATAAGATTCTTAGCTTGTGATACCTTTTACCTGAGAGACTGAACTCAGGCCAAACTAACCCAAACAGAAGAGGCCGCGCCCCCTGCAGCTCGGACCTATTGTATCAAAGGAGCGCGTGTATGTATAGTTGCAGCCTCGCGCCTCCGGTCTGTGTGCTCGTTCGGTTTTAGCCGGATCTCACATTTCGCTACGTTAGCATACAGTAGCTAACACACAAGATGTCGAGGGTGTACATTGGAAGACTGAGCTACAGGGCCCGAGGAAAAGGACGTGGAGAGGTTTTTCAAAGGCTACGGGAAGATACTCGAGGTTCGACCTGAAAAACGTGGGGTAAACATTTTTTGGTGTTCTGTCGGTGCTAAGCTAACGCCTGCAAAGGCCGAAAACGTGCCCGTCTAGGCCTTGTGGTCTTGTGCCAGCTAATGCTAAGCTAGTCGTTAGCATATGTTATCATTACAAATGAAAACTGTCTATAATGTGTAATGGACTGAGGCTGTTTGTTTTGTTATCATTATTATTCTTCTCGAAACTGTATCAAAGCCCATATTGCTGCTTATAGGTAACGTTTGGGCTATCTCGGGACAACGCTAATAGTTAGCTAAGGTTAGGACGTGGCAATGTCACTGGCGGCTTGATACATCAAGCTAAACAAGTGCAAGTGCAGCCAATCTCGTATTTAGCTTCGATCCTCGCGAAATGCCACCAATGAGATATGGCCAGGGTTCTTTTATTCAAGATACTTGGTACAATCAAGCTTGATATGTCCGTCTTTCAAACGTCTCCATCGACGCTATTCAGTACAGCATTGATGGAGAGCATTCATAAATAATGTATTTATGAATGCTCTTTGTTTGGACTTGAAGGTTGTTGTTTATTTTTAATCAAACATTCACCATCATGATTCCACAGTACATTCAATCGCAGAAAATGTCAAATTCCACGAATGCAATGTTTTTGTTTAAACGTGCAGCTTCTTTGATATAGACCAGTGGTGAGTTTTTTTTATATGAATAAGGATCTGTTAGGTTAGGTGCTAGTTCCTGGTTTCAAGGGCTGCCAACGACGATTATTTTGGCATCAACCATTTAGTGTTTTGGTCTTCAGGAATTTTCGAAAAAATGGCCACCACCAGTCTACAAGGAACAAAGTGAATCTACGCGTGTGCTCGTTTTGCAGAACCACTGTCCATTATGTATGAAGTTTGCTCCTTGTTAAATCAAGATTCGCAATGTCTGTATACGCCAGGCAACTTTTGGATTTAAGTGTTGGCTGTATCGTTGAAGACTTTCTTTGTTTGAAACTCTTGAAAAACGTTCCGTTACTCTTCCAAAAATAGATATCCAAGTAGCATTTTTGAATTTCTGTTTTAATAGACATTCATACTTGTGTAGTCTAACTGAATAATAGTTTGGTTCATTATCAAACGGAATATAAATTCACCAAACATCAAATTGTTGCTAATATAATTGTATTATTTGCATATCATCAATCAATATAACCAATTTTAAATTAATTAGCAGATATTGACTTTATACACATTTCTAGTGTGTACAGATATCTAGCATTTTTAAGATATCTTAATTAGAAAGTTACTAGTGGAAATAAAATATGTGCTAGTAGAATTGTATATGTACTATCTTAGATTTGTTTGGTAACAAGCCATTAAAAAAAAAATAATATATATATATATATATATATATATATACGCACACCAAGCCGTATGTTCATGTGTAAAACGCATATTCTGAGAGTCAGCCATTCCTTTTCAAAATCTGGAAATAAAGTTATTCTTTTTCGGCCAGTAAAATCTAAATGGCTATCAGTATGCCATGCTGATAACATCTTAAAAGCTTGTGCTACTCTTTCTACATAGGGTAGTGGTTGTGTTTTGGCCAGTTTGTGCCCACCTGACTGACGATTATGAACTCAAAACATTGTTTGTAACCTGATGTTAAAACATTTTCTCTCTGTTGTAAAGGTATGGGTTGTTGAATTTGATGACCCCGTGATGCAGATGATGCTGTTTATGACTTAAACGGCAAGGAGTTGTGTGGTGTGAAAGAGTCATTGTGGAGCACACAAGGGGACCGGATGGAGGGGCGGGGGTGGGGGTGGTGGTGCGGGGGTGGTGGAGGTATTGGTGGAGGTGGTGGCGGGGAGGAGGAGGCGGCAGAGGAGGAGGAGGAGGAGGAGGAGGCGGCGGCGGTGGCGGTGATAGAGGAGGCGGCGGTGATAGAGGAGGAGGAGGTGGTGAAGGAGGAAGAAGCAGCAGCAGCAGTAAGTGTTTAATAAAGAAAAGTTATTTTTTATATGTCATTGATTGGGGTTTCATTCTTTACTGGGAAACTATCTAAATTTCAAAGGGGTACAATCTTGAGCTTGTCCTTGGTGGCTGATGTGCACTCAATTGATATCCTAGTGTTTGTTCATGTTGGTGGTACTTAAGCTCCACTCCTTAACATAGGCTTTCTAGTCACACAAGCTATACCTAAAACGATGGAGTGCAAAATAAGTTAGCCTGTCCCACAATGTCACCAATACGAGCGTTTTGATTGATGGCATATTATCACTGTAGTCTCTAATATGGTGGTGAATAGCAAAGATTGGTTTAAAATGCTGACAAAATAGACGAGTAAGCAAACGTGAAGATCTAGAACCAGTTCACATGAAGATGTATAAAATAACATTTTGGTCAGTATTGTCGAGCTCTGTTGGTACCTTTTCTCGATACCTAAGGAAGGACCCCCAACTTGTGCATTCTTTAATGAACTCCTTACACCTATCCACCACCGCCCTCCCTTGTGCTAATTTCATCAGTTTAACCTAAACCAGTTTGACCTGTTTAACATAAATGAATGTTCTCAGTTTCAGATAGGGCACATCTAGAGCTGCAAAGTTGGTTTTTAATTGTCACGGTGTTACAAGCCCCACTCACGACAGCATTACAAAAAAAATTGTCATTATTATTATTGTGTGCACCAAGCCACCAATGACTTGAGAAATGTCTTGGGTTTACCATGTAATGGTTTGAAAATGCAGTTACATTTGATTATGTGATGAGGAAATGGCTTACTGATGGACAAGGATATAAATGTCTTCATTAATACTGTAAAAATAGCCATTTGATTGTTAATATCTTGTAATCTATTGATGTCTTATTCCGTTTTTAATTTCATTTTACAATGATTGTCAATTTAAAGGTAAAGATTTTAACAAAGAACCTCAATGTTTTAATTGGAAGAGTCCTTTGCTGACTGCCTGCCCCTATTGCTGGCCATGGTGTCCACCCTTTCCAAGAGTGTGGTTTGACCATTCTGGGCCCCTGGGCAGACCAAAAAAGGGAGCCATTGTGAATGAAGACCGCTTTTCCCATTAGGCCCAGGCCGGGGGTGGTGAGGATGCCATGGGGGTTAGGAACAGATGTGGGTTCAGTTCTTATGGGTGCCTGAAAAAAAGAACATGTTTTGTAAAAGTAAAATGTTTTTTCTAGATAGGGTAGCTTAGAATCTTGCTTTAGTTCACCGTAAGTACTTCCTCAAACAGTTTTTCAGTTTCTTATTTAGAAAATAGGCACATAGAATATTTTTTACCAACATTTGCTAAAATGATAAGCTTAAAAATGTACTTTATAGGTTGAGGCTTTTGAATATTTTTTTTAGCAAATTATAAATTCAGCCTTTTTTTGTAATACTTTTCCCACCTTTGCTTTGCCCCTTTTTTCTTTTCCCAAGTCAATATTGATATATTTGGTAGTGTGTAGCTTGGAGATTAGCATAAATGTACCACCACAGTTTGTTTGGGGTCCTCATTTTTTCCCCTGTCCTTTCCTGTTACCTCAAAAGGTGGATATGGTCGCTTTGGAAGAGACAGATATGGTCCACCCATAAGGACAGATTATCGGCTCATTGTTGAGATCTTTCCAGTCGCTGCAGCTGGCAGGATTTGAAGGTATGAAGATCTATTTGATCCATAGCCGTTTAGTACACCAACATATTCTTCAGTTTTGTTTGTCTCGCAGATCTACTTAATGATATATTGCTTTTTCCTTAAGGACTACATGAGACAGGCAGGGGAGGTGACTTATGCCGACACCCACAAGGGCCGCAGGAACGAGGGGGTGATAGAGTTCAGGCTCTACTCCGACATGAAGAGGGCTCTGGAGAAGCTCGACGGCACCGAAGTGAATGGAAGGAAGATCCGTCTGATCGAGGACCGCCCTGGAGCCAGACGCAAGCGCTCTTATTCTCGCAGTCGCAGCCACTCCAGGTCAGACCGGTTCTTTAGTTTGCTGTTATTTGTTATTGTTCCTGATGCACACTGCACGCAAAAAATGTAAGAGGAAGTTAAACTGCACAACAAAAAAGGTCTTGAGCATAGGTTAAAAAAAGGTGCTGGCTTGGCGTCCAATACATCTTTATAACAATAATTGAAGCTCTTGTACCGGCATTGTACTTAGATGGCGCTGGTGATAATGGCTGCCGTGTCTTTGGCCCCTCTTTACATTCTCTTGCACTATTTTATCTGTTATTTATTTTATATATTCATGTTACACTGTTGGAGGAGCCTGTGACTTACGTTTTTCTTTGCCCTATCGTAGCTTATGTGCACGTCACAATAAAGCCTTGAATCTTGTACCTTTTGCCAACTGTTACTCTGTTTCCTCAGGTCCCGCTCCAGGAGCCGCAGGTCTCGTAAGAGCCGCAGCCGCAGCGAGAGCAGCAGCCGCAGCCGTTCCCACTCCAGGTGAGGATCAAACCTATCAGAGAGGACTGTCTACTTAATAGTAGCGCCGTTGGAACTCATTTTGGGACTTAAATACAAATAAAATAGTAAAATCAACAATACGTTTTCCTGTCAAGATAGTAATCTGCAGAATACGTAAAGGTCCAGAAGAAATATGACTTAAGAAGGGGCAACCTTAAAACTCATCTGATAACACTACATTGCGTCAATGTAAAGTATGAGGGACTGCAGCTAATGCAGGAAACAATATATGTTTTTGCCTCACTCAATCATTGCAGGGCAAACAATCATTTGTACTTGATCTTAAATATTACTTATAATTTCTATCAAAAATCGTGTACAAAACTTATAACCACATGCTGATAGTGCCATTTGCAATTCAGAAGCCGGTGCATTTGTAAGTAAATAGTACATTCTAATAAAAGGCTAAAGTAGTGGAGAATTCGCAGTTATTAATATTTAAATGTGAATTCAGAGAGCCCCGTCTGAATGTATATCGTTTTAGTAGTAGGAAGATCATTTGTGAGGCTTGGTTTTGGCAATTTGATCTCCCAAAAGGCGTGTGGCACAGTGGGTAGGGCGTTGGTGTTGGGAACAGGGGAGCACAGGTTCAAACCCCCTGCAGTCAGCATGTCGTTGTGTCCCTGAGACACTTCACCCCAAATTGCTCCTGTGGGGATTGTCCACAGCGTTGGGTATGTAAGTCGCTTTGGATAAAAGCGTCTAACAAGTGACATGTCATGCTACTACTGCCTCTCAGCAGCTGCCATTCAAATACACAAGATGTGGGCACACGAGTTGGTAGTAAGATCAGAGAACGTGTATAAATAGATTTTCACAAGTCAATGAAAGTGCAGGGGTGTGTGCACTTGAGTACATTTAGAGTATATCAGATGATGCTAGTAGTGGCATGATATCTACAGCTGTTGTAAGTGTAGCCTGATCTCAGTTATACGGTTGCAATAAAGATACAGCTGAATTTCTCAAATACTGTTCTCACTGCCATCTTGCATTTTAAACTCTCTGAGTCCTCTTGTCCTTATTTTCATTTGGTTCAGAACCTTTTTTTGAAATTATATATTATATTTGCATTTACGTATAATACATTTAATATACCCGTTTTCCAGTAAATTATTGTGCTTGTTGTGATGAGCTTTATGTAACAGGGTATTTAGTTTAGCTAGGTTAGGTAGTAGAGTAGTAAGAAAGTATAAATAATCTCAACTGTCTGATCTTTGTCCACAGAGCGGCGTCCCGCTCCCGCAGCCGATCTCGTAGCAAGAAGAATAAGCTGAAGGTCAAGAAGGAAGAAGAAGAGCGCAGCAATGGCGCGCCCAAGAACAAGGACCGCAGCAGGAGCCGCAGCCCCAAGAGCAAAAAGAGCAAGAAAGACGTCAAGAAGAAGAAGGATGACTCCAGGTCTCGCTCCAGGTCTCGCTCCAGGTCTCGCTCTAGATCAGGAATTAAAGATCGCTCCAGGAAATCAGGCTCCAAGGGCCGTGAGCCAGTTAAGAGCGAGGACGAGGGGGCTGAGCCCGAGAGGGGCTCCCGCTCTCATTCCCGCTCCCCCGCTGAATCAAAATCCAGAGCCAGGTCTAAATCAAAGTCCAAATCCAAATCACGTACCCCCACACCTGCCAAAGCCCGCTCCCACTCCCGCTCCCGCTCGGAGTCCCGCTCCAAATCCCACTCTGCCTCTCGCTCCCGTTCCCGCTCTTAGTTCATATTTTTTGACAGTTGTCATGAGCCCTTATCCCAGTGTCTCCCCCTGCCCTCCATTTACATTCCCCAGATCCCACAACACTACCCCTGTTTTTTGATAAATAGCTGTAGTGTTCCAGGCATTTGTGCTTGATGTCTTTTATGCTACTCCATTTCCTTTGACTTTTACGCAACATATTTTTTCATTAGAGCTGTATCGTATGGGGGTGTTTGTAAAATAACAGGGTGCAATCTCAGTTTTATAGTTTAAATGATGGTATGTGTTTAGCCTTTTTTTAATCAAGTGTAGAAGCATACGGTTCGGTGGGAATATGTCCTAACGTCTCCTCACCTTTTGTGAAATTCTTGTATCATTTTATTTCCGATTAAAATGAAATGCCTGTTCTAAAGTGGTCTTGGATTTGTGTTTTTGTATTGTATTTGCTCAGCTGGGTATAACCTGTTTTTAATGGATATTGGTGTGACAAGTTTACACGTGCAAACAGCAGCGCAGATAAGCAGGCTCATTTTCATGAATCGACTTGTAGAGTATTACACAATTACACATTTCTCACATGCAACATTGTGAATTTAAAAGAAATAAGTTCCCTATTACATAAACATCCCATATATTTGTATATCGGTAAAAAGTAAGCTATTTATTTTCACGGGACAAAACTGAATGGTACTGTTGGTTTGGGTGATGAACCCATAGCTACAATGTTCTACCTGGCTAACATGATGAAAACTGACCAAGGAAGAAGTTAATTGGATTTTACATTTTTAGATAAATATTTAAGAGTCTGGAAAAGTCAGGTTTTGAAATAGAACTAGAAAAAGCATTTCCTGCTGTAAACTGTATTTGGCAGAAAAAGCTGAATATTGTATTTGAATGGTCTCTGTAGCTGCTTTTAGTTACAAAAAACAGTGTGTTGCTGAACTTAGTGGAGAAATGCAGAAAAGTGAAAGGATTTGTATCCTTGTTACAGCTCAAATGCATTGCAATGACTTTGTTGAAAACTTGAAAGTGACATGTTAAACTGGGAGTAGAGTAAAAATAGCGAAGAAGCTTAATATTTAGGTTTAAAAAAGGTATAAACAACATACAGCCTCAATGTCCTGAAATAGCTGAATAAGTTAATAGTTGAATGGTTTCTGCAGCTGAAAGTAGGCTGAAGGATTGGATATTAAATGTAAGTAGTGAATTAATGTGTATAAGAAGAGAAAATAAAGTAAAACGCTTTGAAAAGTAGCAGAATATTTTAACTGCAAACTTTTGAACTAAAACCATACATCACCAATAATGTATACTGTGTGTGTGTGTACATAATGTAGTATAGACATCCATTGTTTGTGTGTGCGTGTACCAGTCTGTCTGTGGGCATGTCTGCTCTGATTAGATGATAGGGCTGTACCCGAATATTCGTTCGTTGGAGTACTATTCAGGTAGGGTGACCAGACGTCCCCGTTTGTATAGGCCTGTCCCCGGTTGAAACTGTCCCCGTTTTTTTAATACGTTAAAAACAAGGTGAAATAAAACGTTTCATGTCAGGAAACACTGGGTAAACAGACTGTGGGTCAAGCCAGCCCCCACTTCGGAAAACACACTCAAGCCAGCCCGCACGTTGTATTGCGGTGCGCGAATATCCTATGCATTACGGTAGAGGCCTGTAAAAACTGCCTTCAAAATAAAACGTTTACTCGGTCAATAACAAATATAACTAAAAAACACACCAAACATATTCATATATACTGGAGCTTAAATTAAGAAATATGTACTATATAATGTGATCAATAATAATGAAAACAAACTACGTATAACTACCACATTATAACTGAGTGAATGTAAAATGTAAGGATACAGTTATGAAGACATATCGGACATTTCCACTGAGAGACTAATTTCAATTGATGTTGACACCATCTCACAACACTCCTAAAATAACATTACTTTCTGAAGCACAATTTAAAATGTATGCTGTTTAAAATCTCAAATTAGATCTATTGTCCATCTATATTTTGATTATTATTTAATGGAAACGGTCCATAATCAAAGAGTCATCGAAGTCAATCAATACTTATTTCACTTCAGGGTGATAGCACGAGACCCCATCTAGTCAATCAGAGAAAGTCAGGACAATCTGATGTAGAGTTTCAAAATAAAATACTTTTGAAATCTCATATATGGGCTATCGTCCTTATGTTTTAATACAAGAAAATAAAAAAAAAAAATTATCAAAACTCCAGGGTGATAGCAGGACACCCCATCTAATCACTCCGAGAGAATCTGGACAATCTGATGTAGAGTTTCAAAATAAAATACCTTGGAAGTCTCATATGAGCTATCGTCCTTCTGTTTGTATCCAACAGTTAAAATTTTCAAATTAAATTGAACCAGAATTGTCTCCCTTTTTTCATTAACAGTGAAGAAAATTGGATATGTTAATGATATTTTGACCGCAAAAATAAAAATGTCCCCGGTTTTAATTTTGAAAATCTGGTCACCTTATATTCAGGTTTAAATTTCGTTTTTTCTTGTTGCATTTATTGAAAACTCCAATATCAACGTAAGAGCTTGTGCCTCTTCGGGGGTGCTAACACTTAACCATACACTTTATCGTTTACTTTCTCCGTCTTTATATGTAGGTATTACTTTTTCTCCATTAATCTCCGTCACGTTGTTTCCATAGCAACAACAACTTCCTGTCAACAGCGATAACTCTTCTTCAAAAAAAGCGCCAAATTACACTTAAGACATATACAACCTTTTCAATTTCAAAGAACACAAATTGGGTTGTATACATTACACATAACTATAAAACAACAATACTGTTGAATAACAAAATGAATGCTGTGAATAAACCGAAATACACGTGTTGAAGCAGTTCGCTGCTGAATACTA